AAATTTTTGTGTGTTATTATAACTTGTGTTTTGTTCATATAATATTTGTATGTTTATTCTTGTCATATATCTAAAATAAATTACTTTATTTTGAGAAATCTGACAAGTTCTTTTCACATTCATGACCAGAGGGGTGTTTCATGATTCTGATTTCATTTCTGCAAGATCTTGTGGAACATGAGTTTTGTGAGATTAAGCTGGTATTAATCTCATAAAGCAGGGTTCTTTACACTGCAGATGATCCCATACACAGACATTTGTTGTGACACTTGTCTGCAGGCTTGATTTGTCAAGAACAAAAATAAAAAACTAAACAAAAATCTTCTCCTCCCTTTAAAACAAAGTGTTTTCAGAACCAGCTAATAATAGCAAATGATTGACCATTCTCAGTTTTTAAAAGACCTAATAATCACTTTGTAAACAAACATATTAGTGGTTCATACCCTGCCCAGGATGTCCACTGGCAGTTTGGAGTTAAGCAGGACAGGCTTGACCTTATCTCCTGACAGCATCCCTCCAACTGGACCCAGACTGTCAAAGATGGCGTCAAACTTCAGTTTCTCCTCAGGCTGGTGGAAAAAAAGTAAAACAGAGTCAGAAAACTTATACCCGAACAGTAAAACTATTAAAAATGAGGAAATAAATCACATCAGTGTGTCAAAAAGCAACTTTGGTTACGTTCACACTGCAGGCAAAAGTGACTATATGTGACCCATATCAAACATTTTATGATAGTCTAAGTGTGATAAATCAATTTTTTTATAAATCCGACCCATCTTTTCCATACATGGTGCTAAATTAGATACATATCTAAAGTGACTACAGTCTAACAGTTTTGTTGTATTTCATCCAACATTTACATCAGTGAGGTAGAGGGTATACAGATCCATCCAGATATTCATATTACTATGGTCCCCGCATGTGAAGCGGGGGTCATGATGTTTTTTGTTTTTTTTTCAGTGATTTTTGGTCAACCGTAGCACAAAAATGGTTGCGCCAATCACCATGAAATTTGGCAGGGCTGTAGATGAGTCCGACCTACACTGCGCCAGCCAACGGTTTTATGATAGACCCCATATTTGAGGAGGGGGCTCCATCCAAAGAGGGGGTGTCTGGACATGCAAAAATGCTTATAACTCAGAAACTGTTCAACATAGGAGCCGAAGTTTAGGATTGTGGACTGTTCACACTGGTATCGAATAGAGATTGCATTTAAATTATGATGTGAACACACACACAAAAAAATTACAGTGTGAGCGTGGCCTTTAACTTCTGGTTTACAGGTACCAATATTTGCAGTGTAAATATTAAACCATAAAGCTCAATACTAATCAGCTTTTCACCAAAATGCTGCCAGGTTAGGCAGGTAAAACTTCTAACCTTAACAACCCAGGGAAGGTCAGTGGTCACTCCTCCTGCTAACAGGGGGCTACTTGTGTCGTGCTGCAAACAAAGACAAACATACAGTTACCTAAAGAAACTAAAAGGGCAGCAGGTCAAACATATCCATGACATTATTGTATAAAAACTATTTAGTGCATTTCTAGAAACAAACATACAAATTTATGGCTCACAGCTGCAAACTTACAAATTTCGGGGGAGGAACGGCCACGTTAAGACTCTTGAGCGCCACCTCCAGGCCATTCTGAGCACAAGCCACCAAACGCAACGCTACGAAGAATTGCTAGGTGGGAGATGAAACCTAGCGTCAGTATTAAAACACGTAACTGCACATGAAAGAAATTCAGGATGATGCAAACGTCACTGTGTCACACCTGTTTATTAAGAGATCCTTTTCTTTCAGAGTCGGACAGATCCCAGATCTAGGAAGACATTTCAGGGTTTAAGCAGGTTTTTACGCGATGAGCCTAAAGAAAGCGTGTTCGGAGGCATCACTCACCTTGCCCAGGACCATATCAGCCAACCCTGACCTCTTCAAGAACAGAGCTGCATCGGCCGCCACCACCCGCCCGCTGCCAGTGGGATCCACCTGCACACAATCAGAAAAACAAGAGTCTCACTTAGATCGATACTAATAATAAACCAAAGTTATTTTCTCAGTAGTCTATTAGCTTAGCAGTCTCTCGTAAGGCCTACTACTGGGAACTGCTCTGCCTGGTTGGCAAAGGGAAACATTATTAATTCATAGAGAGCCACAAAGGCCGAATATGAAAAGGGAGAAGACAGCACTGCTGACTACAACGCCATAGTTTATTAAAACAGCTAAGTTTAAATTAAAATATCAATTTAATTCAAACGCAAACAAAACAACAAAACAAAACAATATGAAGATCTTAGGATAATTTTAGAAAGAGATGGTAGAAAGTATATTTTCATTACCTGTCGATAATATTTGTCATAGATGGGATTTCCACTGGAAAGCTGTATGAAGAAACAAAATCAGCATAAAGAAATGATAAAAAAACAAGAGAGCTGAAATAAACAGTTGGCCTTAATATATTAATAATTCCAGGTAACTACGGAACGGTCTAAAAAGCAGAAGGTAAAACAAAACTAATTATGTAAAGTTGAGCAAAGTGAAGTTAAATGTTGTAAGAACGCTAAAAAGCCTCTCTCAAAAACCTACAACTTTAAAACTGATTCTATCTTTAATAAGATAAAAGGAAACGTCACATTTCAAGTTTTATGAAGTTATGCAACTTTTTGCAGTCTTGTTGACTGAATAATTTTAATTTCCCCCTCATTGTTACGTTTTTGGAAAATGGTAATCTATCACTTTTCTTAAAGTGCCTGTGATGTGCATATCCTTCAAATGCAACAAGTCAAAGGAAACATCTTCATATTACAGAAACGTGGCATAATATGCATGATTTTACCCATTTTCTCACATAAATGGCAGATTTTCTTTTGAACTTGGCTCGACATAAGTGAGACAGGAAGTGACATCAAAGGGGAACTGGTTAAGAAAAATAACTCCTCTTTGTTGAAACAATGTTATTTGAAATCTTTTTTTAGATAGACAAGAAAGAAGACGAAAGAAAGGGAAAAAAGAAGGAAAGGAAAGAAAATTTACAATGTAATGGAAAAAAGTGAAAGAAAGAATTGATATGAGATATACGTCAAGAAAACAATACAATCCATCCAACATCTGTCTGCACACCTGCAAAGAATTAAAGTCACAAAACTTAGCAAAAGCATACATATATACATTCAGACAGATAAACAAACATATTATTATTATTATTACAAATATTATTTGACTCTGACGCTTCGTTTCTCTGATGGTGACTCAAAATAATCTAAAAAAAAAAAAACATCAGATTCTTCTCAACGGTCTGTGTCGTTGGCCATTTTAGCAAAGCTCTGTTCACATGCACACATTCCCCTTTGACATCACTTCCTGTTACTTCAAATGCAAATATCTCAACAACTGTTCATCTCAGCGGTAGGGTTGGGCATAATCGTATTGTGTGCAATTAATCGATTATTTTTTGGCACTTGACAATTAATACGATTAATGCCACAATGCAGATTGACTGCATATTTCCCTGGTCAGTCCGCTCGGTGCTCCTCTCTGCTTCAAATATGACGAACATTTTAAAAATAATTCTGTAATTTATTTATCTATCAACACAATTTAAAATTTGATGTGTAGCCCGAAGTCTGTATTTTTGACAATATGGAACAGATTTTTATGAAGAGCAAATATTTCCCACTAAATTGGTCATGTGACTACGACATAAGGGTGTCCAGGGACTCCAGGGGATTAATCATCAAATTAATCGTTATCGGCTAAACACCACAATTAATCGAGATTAATTTTTTTTGCCAATATCGCCCAACCCTACTCAGTGGTGAGATTTTCTTTTGCAATATGCTATTTTTCCAAAAATGTATTCATATTTATTACAAACGTTTGACGTCACAGGTGCTTTAATCTAGAGGTTAGAAGTGTTTTGGCCTTCAGGCTAATGTACTTTTTTTTTTTAGGAAAAACTAAAACATTAATGCTTGACGCTATTCAAGAAAAAACAAAAGGCTCTGTCAGATTACTTGTGTGACATCAAGATCCAGACTTACTTTCTATAGTCGGTCTTAAAAACTTTACCATACAGGGAACAGCTAGTCTCTCTGTAACCTCGCTAAGTAAAGCACGCTTCATACGCTGCTGCACTGAACAGGAAACAAATCAGCGTTTCCTTCTTCTTCTTCCACATAAATACTGACGAATGGTCATTGTGGTTTTGGAAACGCATTTGCAGGAAAGGACAAAGGGAGTGACTGATGAGTGAATGAGTGAATCTTTTCCTTTTTGGAAGGCCCAACACTTTGGGACCAGCCCAGACAGAACAAACTCTGGCACAGGGGGGGAATTAAAGGGCTGAAAGAACAAAACTACAGCCTATGGTCATCAGCCGCTGTTTGTCAGCTTTTTCAACCGACAATTTATAGTGAGATAACTGCTGACACGCGTGTTATCTCTGTGCCCTGTGTGCCTGGGACTGTTTGGTGGCTGCAACACTGAACTCATTGTACCGACGACCCTGTCAACGAAGCCACAAAAAAACACACACACAATCACTGCCCGACCTCAACTTCAGCATACAGGACTGTGGCTGTCAGTTTCCAAAGAGCTGACTGATTTCACAGCTCTCTCTCTCTCCTGTCATGATGACATGCTAAACAGCCCAAACCCCAAACACATAAATGGGGTCAAGGTTGAGAAGCATCAGGGCTGAGACAAGAGAAGCCTTGCCTGACAAACTGAGGAGAAAACAAGACATTATCTCTGGTTTCAACTCCTCTGGTCTGATGTTGGAGGCAACAGTAGCTAAGATAACAATGACCTTACTTATTAACCCTGCTAAATAACTTATTTATTGCGCAAATAAGCACACCGGGACACCAATTTTGAGTTTAAAGAGCAACAGGCTGACATGTTATTTGACAACAGGGGGGAGGCTAGTGGCTAACTTCCTCTTATTGGTTTCAAAACGACTGGTTTCAAGTGTTACTTTTTAAACACAAATTCAAGGCTAAAGCTCAAGGCTGTCCGCTTAGAAAAGGAAGCGTTTGTCTGTAATTATTGTAGCCATATCCAGGAGGTAACAGTCGGAATATAGAGAAAGCCAAAAGAGTACCGATAAACGGGAAGAAAGCGGAATGCAGCCTTACATAACTGAACTTGTAGCGGAGCTTGAACTAACAAAAATGTGACAGTTAATGCCACAAACAGAGCCTCACATGGTTATCATCTTATTTTGACAAGGACCGACTGGCCTGCAGCAAAACGAGAAGGGGACAAAATCTTATTTTTCCCCACTGCAAACCGACGCCAAGTGAGGCTAGCTACACGGTGAGTCTCCGGTTTGACGAAGAAACCCCGCAAACAGACCCCGACTGGACATAAACTAGAGGTTAGCTGCCAGGCTAGCTGGCTAGCTACGCCCTTACGCAGTCCCCAAAGAGATTAGACAGAAACTTTTCACAGCGGGGCTAAAACTTCCAGAAACAGTGGCGAGGGTCGAGCAGAGCCCGCGTTCCCGCCCGCCTCAGACCCGCTAACACCGCCCAGTGGTTTGTAAAGAAGCCCGGGCGGACGACAGGAGCGTTTGTTGTCGGTATATCTGAGTTGTAAGTCGTTGTTACCTGAGTAAGAGACGGAGTGGCAGCCATAGTGTATCTGTTTCCCACCGCTTTCACGCTGCACTGCTGCCAGACACCGACAGAGGCCGCTGAAGAGCCTGAACCCAGGGCATCAACCCGGACTGGTCTACATTTAACACTGCGTTCAAACCAGTGGCGCCCACAGGCCTCTGAAAACCTGATGCCCCTTAAAGAGCAACTTACACCAAAATTAACTTTTTAAACTGATAAACATTCATAAACTCAACGTAAACCAAAATGTAGCGTGAATGCTTAATGCTGAACGGGTTTACCCCCCTGAAAGCTGCTGAAGGGGCTGAAAAAAGTTTAATAACAAAACTTCATCATGTGTTAAATTTTAACAGCTGACTTCTGCTAAAAGTAGGAAAACAAAAGTAGACAGTAGGCTAGTAGTTGAAGTTAGTGAGCAGCGAGTAAAAAAGCACACAAAGTACAAAAAAGTTGCAAAATAGCTAAAGCAGCAAAAATCAGCAGAAAAATAGCTAAAAGTATGAAAAGCTGAAATTCATAAAAACAGCACATTTGCTGAATTAAGTAGTAAAAAGTTGTCACAAAATCTAAAAATTACTGAAAAAATCAAAACTGGCAAAAAATAAGACAGCTAAAGCAGAAATTTGCTAAAAAAAAAAAAAAAAAAAGAAAAGCTTAAATTAGCAGAAGGAAGCTGATAGAAGCCTAAAAGTTTAAATTAACAGAAGAATCATAGAAAGGAGCAAAAATAGCAAAAAAGACCCCCCCCCCAAAAAAAAAAAAAAAAAAAAAAAGAAGTTGACAGAAGCTGAAATTAGCACAAAGACGTTTAAAAAACAGAACCAGAATAAAAGGTGTTGTAGTCCAGGAAAGGTTTACTTTGAAGGATTTTAAGGATGTTAAAGGCAGCTTCATTCATTTTAATGACAACAAAAATGGCCAAAAAAGCTATAAACTCTATCTCAAAAAGTAGTTGAAATATCCTAAATGACATGAACATTTTGATATATGAATTGTCGAAATAGCACAAAAATTGCAGAACAAGACACGAGCTGAAAACTTACAGGAGAAAAAAAATCATCTAAAATGCACTCTTGTAAAACAGCTATTTTAAAACTCTGGCAGTATTAAAGTTAACTGCTAACTGATTTTTTTGTTATTTTTCAAGTAATATTATGATTATATGTTGCACATGAATCAAAACAGCCTAGTTTTAATGTTATGTATCATTACATACATATGTAATGCCATAAATTGTCCACACATTAGGCTTTTTTGTACTTTTGCCAAAAAATCAAATGTTCATCTTTAATTTGAAAGTTTATATTGAACAAAACATTTAGTAGAAACATGCTTTCTTGTTTAAAGCAATCACTTCTTCCAGTGATTATAAATGTTTTTTTCTTTCAAATCCACAAAGCCCTTATTATCAAGAGATACAAACAATAAAGACAAATCTAATGCTGAAATTATTTATGCCAACTACATCTAAAATAACACACTAACATTTTTTTGTGTTAGTAATTCTGTAAAATACAACTTACAACTATAAGTACAAAAAGTTTTAAAAAATTGTGTTTGGTTGTTTATTTCTTTGTCGTAACAATGCTTCTTGGCAATAAATCTTAAAGCAACACCTGACTGCACCTGGAGGTACCAGAAGCTCAAAACAAGAATCAATAACTGCAAAATTAGGCAGAGATCTGGCAAATGTTTCATGTGCACAACCCACATGCTCAGCTCTACTGCTCATCCTGCATGTTCCTTACAAAAGTTACACCATTTGAAAAAAAAAAATAGAATTTCCAGTGGTATAAGGTTTATTTCATAGAAGCATTGTTACAACAAAGAAATAATCTACCACTCATTTTCCTTACGTTTTGTGCTGTTTAGTTAAATGAAATGAATCAATGAAGAAAAGGAAAGAACTTTAGTGCTCTAAGACTGAATTTGATCACAAAAGCAGTGTCGGATCTAGGATTTTTCAGTGTAAGGGGCCATCAAGGGGCCATATTTTTCATTTAGGGGCCAAGTATTTGTTCAACACCCTTGCACACAAATCCTCAGTTTTTGTAAGGTTTATACACTTAATCAGTCACACGTGTTCAAACACTTGCAAAAGCTTGCACAGTAAATCCTCCTTATCAATTTTATATGATTTTTTTTACTGTACATAAAATATTCTCAAACACACGTGAGAAAATCTAGCCATCGTTGTCAGTAAAAAGTTTTTTTTTTTCTGCAAGATTATTCAATTAAAGACTTCTGTAAGCTTGCTTCAAATTGGACTTTCCTTTTTGACTCACTGGTGCCACTAGTGGTTGGAAGTGGAACTGCAGTCACCATCGTTTTTGGGCAAGGACAGATGAATGAAAGGACAGGAGCATTTCAGGGGGCCAATCAGATTTCAGATGGGGCCAATGCCCCTGAGGCCCCGCCCCTGCACAAAATTGACTTCAAAGTTATTGAATGATTTTAAAACATGTGAAGAAATGTGTGCAAGCCTGAAATTACTTTTGCATCAGCACTTCAGAAAAACCTTTTGTCTGAAGTTTGCTATGCAGATGCAAAACAAGGTTCATGTGCAGAAATAATATTTTATATTCATTATTTTTATTTTTTTTGGCTCAAGCTAACTGCAACCAGTGATGTTGGTGAAGTTAATATAGTATGTTGCCATTCAAACCTGTTGTTCGAGTTGCTTTTATTGAATTTCTTCATCACACAGCAACATGAAAATTGCCCCACTTCAATTCCTAACATTAGTACAAAACGTGTTTTACAAAAGAAACATTAATTAGACTGTGTGTTGGGGTACAATAGTGCAGAAACAATTGAGAGGAAAAAAATACACCAACAATGAGAAAACTGTTAAGTGAACGTACCAGATGTTGAAGGGACTTCCTGCTGGATGTACATCGAACTTTTGAGCTTATTTTCAGCAAATTTGTGCACTGAAATGAAAAGTGTTCGTTACACCGTAGAAAACTACTAAAGCGCCCTGCTGTTTTAATCCTTTGAAAACTGTCAAATATAAAGTCCTATTTTGTTCCTTGTTGTTTAAACAGGAGATACAAAGTGAATCACCTGGATGAGGAGGTTTAATCCATTAAGATGAACAGGAATTAGCGTCAAACATTTACATCAACAAAACAACAGATGCAAATTAAAAACAACAAACAAATCTCATGAGGTAAACAAAACATTTTCATGGCACCAGCCACACACAAACTACACACTCCTCCTGCCACCGCTTCATGTAAACCTAGACTTCTGTAAAACACGACCCTGCAGTCTTTCTCCACGTTCCTTTCAGTAGATTAATTATGTCTATTGTCCAAATTTTAACAGGAATAATTACATTAATAATTGTAGTGGCTCATTGAAACAAAAAACAAATCAGTAACTGCCCTTTTTTTCCACCCGTCTCCTTGTTTTGTAAACAAACAAAATGAAAAAGCCCCTCCCACCCCAGTGTGTCGGTCAGCGGGGGTCCGTCACTTCAGTCTCCGCCCTAAAGCCCACTGACGCAGACAGTCTGAGCAGTTCCTGAGTTTATAACTCGTCTTTGAGTTTAGAGTCTGTGCCTTCATCTTCCTCTTCCTCCTCCCCTTCCTCCTCCTCTTCCTCGGGCTCTTCACCTTCTTCCTCCTCTTCCTCCTCTTCTTCCTCCTCTTCCTTCTCCTCTTCCTCCTCCTCGTCCTCCTTTGCCTCTTCTCGCCTCTTCTTGTCTTCCTCCTCACGTTTTTTCCGCTCCTCTTCTTCCTGGCTCTCCTTCATCTTCCTCTCAGCCTCCTGTAGGAAAGCATTTGAAACGTTATTTTAAAATATTCAAAACAAATGAATGTTTGTTTTTAATCTTTGCTGTGGCTGTTTGTAACAGAGAGGCAGGTGAAAGGTTACCTTAGTTTTGCCCCAAGTATCGTTGCCAACCTCTTCGGCCAGTTTGGGATCATTGGTGATCAGGAAGTTGTCAAAGATAGTCCCAGACTTCACCTTCATTTAAACACACCAGAACATAAATCCATATTAGCTGTTTGAAACTCTTAAAAAGAATTGTCGTTATTTTAAATCCTCCTTGTCACATTTAAATCATTCAGTTGGGGTCTATATAAAGTGGACCGGCAATGCTTTGGTCTGAATTCCTCCTTATTGTAACTCCACAAGCCCCTCGTTCACCCCCTTTTCTGAAGTGTGCCTCAGATCAACTCATTTTGATGCTGTCTCTTTAAATTCAATCATGGCACTTCACCCCAATTAAGCTTTCAGAGTGGTCTATTCCAGATTGACAGTGGGGTTTACGACTATATGTGACCCATCATATCAAAAAGAGGATTAAGTCTAATTTGGTCAAAATGACCTAATTACATTTTCATGTTCCTGGCTTTAAAAGCTACATTTTGATACCTGGATCATTAGGATATCATATAACAGAACCAGAGATATGCCTTAATTTGTCTTGTTGGTTACAATAATGCAGTAATGGGTCTGATTCCTAATTTTATGTAATTTTTATGAGGAATTTTTCATTTCATTATGAAGAGGAAATCTCAAATAGTATTTGAATATTGACATTTCCCAGCTTGAAAAGAAACAAAAACATTGCTAGCTCACAGGGAAAATCTAAAAATTTAAAAGGTGTTTTTCCTCAAAATCAGTTTTTTGTTGCTACTGCTCAATAAAGTGCTTTAAAATGTTTTTTATGATTGTATTTCACACAGTTCATTCAAATGAAACAGTGATAAGGCATTTATTAGTTATATTTTGACAAAATGCAATTTTTGTAAGAGTTTTAATCAAAACACTTTATTTACCCGTTTCTCCATATATCAATTTTAGACCTTATCCTCGTTTTGATGTGACATATAGTGACGCAGAAACTTTTTATTTACAAATGAATTAAAAGATGTCAACAAGGGAAAACTTGTCCATCCAGCCTTACATGTTGGAGCCAGAGTCTGACCCAGAGCCAGAGGAGAATGAAGACCACGAAACTGTAGTTGGTAAGTCCAGACCTTATTTGGCAGTCCCATCAAAAATAAGTTGACATAATAGTTCAGAAAACATAGAAGAAAATGAGCAGGTAGAAAAATATATAGTAGGGGTGCAACGATAGAGAAAATTCACGGTTAGGTTCGATACTTTAGTCTCATGGTTCGATATTTTTTCGATACAAAAAAGAGAAATTTCCATGCCCCATTTAACTTGTAATTTATTTAAATTAATTATGAACATTTGTTTAACCTCAAAAGTACAGTTTTAAATTAAATGTTGCTGAAACAGCAAGTTTCTCAGTGGATCTGCGCTCCAAAATGCAGCCTAGGTGGAGTAGTCGAACACAGATCCACTGATCCTTTAACACGGAGCATCTTCAGAAGACAAGTTGATGAAGTAAATTTTAAATATCTGTATTGTTCGATACAAGTGTGTATTGAACCTAAAGCACTGTTCGATACAGGTACATGTACTGTTGCACCACTACTATTCAGCACTGGGAGAGACTAAATTCAACTTTTCTGCACTCCTAGAGACTCAGTGTACACAACAAAATGTATTTAGTGGCTAAAAAAGTGGATTTTTCATGACACGTCCCCTTTAACAACAGTCACTCAGAATTAGTCACAATATACTTGGATACAAATGCTATGTACATCTTCTCGATGAAGCTATAAAAACATAGTGAACAGCTGAAGGTTACCTGCCACAAGTCAAGTCCGATCACACCGATGCTGTCGTATTTGTAGATATCAGGGTCGGCGGTGTACTCTGGGTTATCGATCTCAGGGTGGACCCACTTCCCTTTGTAAGCAGGGTTATCAATCTCACTGGGCTTCCACTCACCCTGCAGACAAGAGCGGCACAGAAAAATGTTCTCACTGAGTAATTACACAAAGTTAGGAGATTGTGTTTTATAACGACTTGAACATAGAGATAATTTGCTGCAATACCGCGTTTGGAAAATGTGATCTCTTTTTGTTCTATTGTGAAAATCTCGACACCGATGACGGCATCAATTCAATAATTTAAAAGCTCAATTCAACGACAAAAACAAAGCAGTAGTTTAACCTGACGACAGGATGAAGTGTTATAATTGTGTACCTTATAATCAGGGTTGGTAACCATGGGCGGCTCCCACTCTCCATCCATCTCCTCGTCCCAGTCATCGGGCTTCTTGGCATCAGGATCTGGGATGTTCTCAGGCTTGTCCCAGTCCTAAAACAAACAGGTGGTAACATCAAAACACCACATTTTGTGACAGTCCATTTCTTGCAAAACACACAATCCTGTTGAATTAAACCTATTTGAAGAAAGTAACAGATTTTAAGCTGATGAAAATATCCCAACCTCTGGTTTTTTATCATCAGGGTCTGGAATCTTCTCCCGGTCATCCCAGTCTTCTGGCTTTTTGGCCTCGGGATCTTTAATCTTCTTGGGGGGCAGGAAGTCCCAGTCCTCTTCCAGACTGCCTGACTCGACTTTCTTGTTGTCGATTTTCACCTCGTAAGTGTTGTCGGGGTTGACGATCAGCGTGTACAGGTGGGTGTACTCATCGTCCTGCAAAGACGACCGGAGACGTTGATGGTTTCATGCACAACGGGAAGGTCTTGTAAAGCCAGTTCTTATTTCCAGAAATAAACATGGGGTAGACATTTTTTTGTCGTACCTTGCACCTGATGTCTTTGTTGACCAAATGATTTTTGCCTTTGTAGTTGAAAATAACATGAACTTTCTTTGTGCCTGGTCCACAAATATCAGGACCTTAATTTAGTAAGATAAAAAGGGACAAAAAGAGGTTGTTATGGTCTGTATGTACACTAAATAGGTAATTTTATCAGAATCATCACTCGCAAAAACAGGCAACGAGTCATAATCTGAGACAAAAACTATTTATTTTTAGTCCAACTCTTCACACCTACCAAACATGATGTTGTAGACGGAGTCCCCGTGCATGTCCTCCTGTTTGACTTCAGAGGGGAACAGTTTGATGTAGCCTCCGCCACAGTCAATGCTCTGCTCGTGTTTTACAGTGAACTGGATGACTAAAGGCTGGCCCTTGTTACTGAAGTCATCAAAACGGGCTGACATGGCATAAAAGCGAGCATCCTGGCTCGTCTGCAGACCTGCGGTTCAAACAACAAACAAAAACAAAAGAAAAAATGTTTCATTACGAGGGAAATCCAACATTGAACACTCGTCTGCCTCATTCCTAGCAGAGAGGAGGTACGTAGCGACGCTGGCACTGATCCGTCAGCAGCACGCAGCAACTCGGGATGGCCACGGGGTCAGAGGACACCGTTCCACCACGACTCACCTTTGTCTTTCTCCGCGTCTCCGTAAAACTTCCCCGCAGACAGGACGAACCTGCCGTAGTCGGTCTTGTGCTGGGATTCCACCCAGCGACTCTTCCAGGCATCTGCACAGAGACAACACCAGGGTTCAGCTGCACTGCAACCATCACCATCACAACAACACACACACACACACTGTTCACCTCTGATGATGCATGGGTGCAGGTGCAACTGTGCAGGAGTGTGTGTTCGGCTGTCTTTACAGGGGGGAACAGTGAGTGCAGTGTGTGTGTGTGTGTGTGTGTGTGTGTGTGTGTTGGGGGGGTAGTTCAGATGACAGGCAGGGGGTGGGAAACGGATGGGATGGAGAGGAATCGTGGGGAGGTTCAACGATGAATTGTCATGTAGACTGAACTGAAAGGTGTAATTTATCTTATCGACGAGCAGCAGATACATCCCAGATATATTGTGGTAAAAGTATTGCAAACAATTTTACATTTTGTGGTTCATTTAGCCGCCGTTGCATTTTAAGAGTGCACGGTCTCTTTAAAATATCAGCAAAACCAGATAGTAATGAAGGAAAAATCCTCACCAGCATCCTCAAACTGCTCTCGGAAATACACAGCAGGCTCGGCCAGCACAGACGCAGCCGACACGGCCATCAAAATCAGCGACAACGTTGTCATGGTGACGAGCTAGCGGTTCCCCGTTCGGACCACGACTCAAAGAAATCACAGTGGAAGATACACGTACGTGTGAATATCACTATTTATCGACGCGACACACAGCAGTTTCGGGCCGAGCCTTCATGCGGTCACAGTACGGTGCGAGCCGCCGCGCGACCGTCCGTCCACTCTCTCTCTCTCCTCTCGCCTCCGAACAGATGTCTGAATCTGATTGGACGAAGGCCCTGCCAAGCTCAACAAGGAACCGTTCCGGCGTTTGGCCAATCAGAAGAGAGCCATTGCTGCTTTCGGCCAATCAGAGGAGATATATTCCGGGCTGTGATCTCTGCAGCCAATGGGAAGAGACCACGCGTTAACTTGGTACACGCCCACAGGAGGATGACGCTCCTGAATAAATCGCCTGGCAAAATAAATAAATAAACCAAGCGGTAGATGGAAACACATTGTGCTAGCTACAGTAATAAGCTATATGTTGTCTTTTGTCAATTCAGAATAATTAAGGATGAAATTAATTTTAGCTAGTCACCTGGTGCAAAAAAAAAAGTTAACCCTCCTAAAATCTAATCAGGTCAAATGAAAGATTTCAGATGCACCTTGTTTCATAAAATACAAATAAATGATTATGGGTTTTATAGGCGTTTCATGTTTCAACTGTAAGCCTAAAAATAAAAATCCTGAGAGTAAACAACTAGTTCAAGAATGGCTAGAAATCACTTGGTTTGGGGTTCCAACAATTTATTAAAAAGTTAGTTTTCATTTAAATCTTTGTCTCACCAACTGTAACAATTTCCAGTAACGTCATGTTCATCCATCACACTGTTGATAACACAACGCCATTTTATACTTAGTCCAAACCAGCCGCTAAACTTTGTGTAGATGACAACGTGGAAGACGAGTGTTTCTCATCTATGGGTGCTGAATACTCAGTAATGTAGTAAAGTGTTGTGTATTCATGGTGAGTTCAAAAGTCAGTGTGCAAGGTTTATTTTGCAGCTTAAAAAAAAACTAAGTGTGTTTATTAAACCAATCCACAAACATGTATGGCACAGTAACATGTTTAACTATGACCTAAATAATTTCAAGAAAAAGTTCATTGTGAACAAAAACACAATTCTGAATATGCAATACGAACACTTCACTTAGAACTTACAAGAATGTTAAAAAAACAACACAACTCATAGTTTTAAAGAAACTACTATAATAAATAACAGTATGAACACTTCACAGTTCCTGTCTTCATCCGTCTGTCTCGACACAAAGGACAGCAGTCACGCCTCACATGACGTCACCCTGCTCCCCGTCTCACACTGGATCTCCTGCTGCCTGCTCCGTCTGTGAGGGACCTGGACGCACACGTTTCTGTATCTGCGTGGGGAGGGGGGGGGCGGTGCGCAGAGCAAAGGGGACACGTCTCCCACGTGGCTCTGTGAGGCAGATGGACCGGTAAAATCAAATCAGACAACACCCTCCAGGTCACCCTCGTCTGCACGTTCAGGGGAGAAAGAAGTTGATCCTCTGCGGGATGGACTTGCACCCTTGGGCTGAGAACAGCCTCTCCTCTTTGGGCACGTACAGCATGGCCTTGGCCACCTCGTCCAGCGTTGCTTCATCCGTCTCTAGGCCCCGTGCTACATAGGCGTCTCGCGCACAGAGCTTAACGTGACGGTACTCCAGCGGCAAAAATGGCACGAAGAAGTCGATCAGGTGACCCGACATGAGCTCGCTCTGAGCAAACCCTCCTGAGAAACAAAAAAATATAGAAAAGTCGTTTTATTTTTAAATATATTTGTCTTGCTAAAAGTGGCTGAGATCAGGATTAAATGAACATCCGGTCATCCTCGCTGCATACCCTGAGACTCCATAGTTTCAGCTCGAAGACGATGCTCCAGGTCTTCCATACCGATATCCTCTCGGTTCTGACCCGAGTGCCAGAAGTCCAGCGCCACGTCGTTGATTGCTGCGCCGCCAATATTACTGTTGTGATAACAAACAGAATTTCTTTTTTTAAATTTTCTTTTAAATAGACATCTTTACTGAAGGTTATTTCTTCATGGAAGCAGGATTATTGATGTATTTTGATTTGGCAAACATGTAAAGTTCTCTTCTAGTCCTATCAAAACATTTCTTGTAATTTAAATAAATTATACAAAACCAGTTTAAACATGTAAGGATTCTTTTGTGTCAATTTCTTCACTACTATGCTTCAAAAGTGTTCTTGGTGAATTCTCCACACAGTATGGAGTAATTATAGAATAATTAAGACGATAATAATCAGTACCTCAGAATGTCCACTTTGATGGCTTATAAACTCTTAATGTTACAGAAAATCGGCCCAGAAGAAGAGATCAGTCAGGTTTAATGAGCAGGATTTTCTTACACAATAATTTTAACTGAAAATCTTTAAGTTCAAGTGAAAAAAAATGTTTTCACTAAAAGTTAAAAATAAATCATTTAAGTTTTTTTTATCACGTAGTTCTTTTATTTTTTGCCACAGACACATACAATTTCTTGAAGAACAAATTCTATATATTTTCACATTTACAAATGGTTTATACAGAAATGGTGAGTTCTAGTAGATGTTATTTAAAAATAAATGGCATAAATTCTTCTAGGACAGCTACCTATCAGTGAGCATTCCAGGTGTTATATCATATACATACTTGGCACAAATATTAGGTAAATCTGAGTTTGATAAGATTATTTCTTTGTTGTAACAATGCTTCTTGGCAATAAGTGTTATATCATTGAAAAGTCTGTTAATTTCCCTTTTAAAAGGGGCCACATTTGTAAGGAACATGCATTTGTGGGATGAGCAGTAGAGCTGAGTATGTGGGTTGTGCACATGAAAAATTAGCCAATTCTCCTTCAGCAAACAGCTTATTTTGCTGTTGTTATTGACACTTGTTTTGAGCTTCTGGTACCCTGCAGGTTCAGCCAAACTGGTGCCCACTATAAGATTTTTTGCCAAGAAGCATCATTACATCAAAGAAAAACAAATCTAACAAACACAAATTTACTTATGAAGTATGAAACAATATAGAGTAATTGTTTTGTAAACACAGAATGGTACATTTTTGTGACCATTTCAATGGACAAAATGTCCTCAGATGATCAACCGACCTGAGGAAGAGGAAGACGGCTCTACGGTAGCTGACTCCGTCCACGTTGTCGTAGTGATCCATGAAGGGTTTGATGGCGTCAATGAGGCCCGGGTGGAGCTTCTCAGCCTCGTCAAAGATGAACAGAGTTTGTGGGCAGCGCAGCACCATGTCTCGGATGGCTTCTCTCAGCTGGCCCTGCAGAGCGGGAAGAAATGCAGTGAAAAAAAGAAAGAAAGAGTGAAAAAATAAACTGTTTGGATGTTAGCATGTAAAGGTCGACCTGTGTAGTGCACCTTTAAATAGAATACTGTGTAACAGTTCTGTCAACACAATTATGAAACCTCACACAGGGATTGTGTAAAGATGAGGGGACCACGCTGTCACTTGTGGCCCAGTGGGCCAAACGCCAAGTTCCAAAAACCTGTCCACACCAGTGTTTGGTTTACATCAGTGACCGTTATCGTTCCTTGCAAAACACCCGACTAAGCATCCGTCCCGTTCGTGCCTCACCTTGTACGTGTCCACCAGCCTGGCGTGTGGGAAGTGGAACGGGGCGATGAACAAACGCACGCACTCGCTCTTCACCCCGTCCCGGTACAGGTTATCAGCGATGATCCGGGCCACGAAGTTCTTGCCAGTTCCGGACCAGCCGTGGAAGGAGAGCGTCAGAGGCTTGTTGGACTCTGGATTGTTGATGAAACCCTGGATGGCTTTGAGGACCACAGACTGGACCAGGTGCTGCCCGTGGAGCTTCGTTTGTAGGTCCTTTTCCAAACCTAAAGAGTGAAACAGAACTCTCCATGATGTGAACTTTTTGTTTTAGAAATCCTGCACGAGTGTGTTTGTGTCCACGATGCTATATAATCGAAGAAAAACCAAGACCTCAAATGTCTTGAATGACCATTTCTGATTTGAAGACACTGATAGATCTTTTGATCTTTTTGTTTTTCTAACTCTGTCACAGAGAAACAGAGTATCAACAATCCAAAGAAGACACTGAACACTATCAAACTAACACATGTATGTCCAGAAAAGGCCCTTTATAAAAGCATTTTTCTCAGATCTCAGTTTGAGTTCAGTTAAATTTGGTTCACCAGTTTCTTTCTAGAAGATCTTAAACATTCATTTTCTAAAACGCTTTCTCAGATCAGTTATTTCAGCCTTAAAACTGGCTCTTTTTTTTTGACTAAAACCCTTTTTTTAAATTTACGGAGTCTTCAAGACGCAAAAAAAAAAAGTTCCCCCAAACTTTTCAAAAGTAGTTCGAAACATCAGTGAAACTTCTCTCGTTTTCTGGCAACTTTAAAGACTATGACTTTAAATCATCAAGTTTGTTATACAACCGTCTAAATGCCATTGTAAGTACACGTACTTTACAATGCACATAAAATGTGACAACAGGAAATGAGTAATGAGGAAAAAGAAAAAAACTGTATAGGTCTTCTGGACGGGTTCTTCTCTAATGAAACGTTTCGTTTCTCCTCCAAGAGACTTCTTCAGTCTGAGAGTTTCAGGCAAAATTCAGGCTTTTAAGCCCTGCCTCCATGTGACTGATACTCACATCACATGGCTATCGTTGACACCTAATTAACACTTATTGTTAACAGGGGGTGGAGTGATACTGGCAAAAGCCGCGCTGTAGGAGGGGGACAACTGAAAACGGAGGCCTCCACCTCTGTTTAATGATGGACAGTCTTTCTTCACAAAAATGGCTTCTTTTACTCCTCTCTCAAACCAACGTTCCTCTCTATCAAGAATGAGAACATCCTCATCTCTGAAAGAGTGACCGCTGGCCTGTAATTGAGTGAAAACTGCAGAGTTCTGGCCATTAGATGTAGCTCGTCTGTGTTGGGACATTCTTTTGAACAGTGGTTGCTTTGTTTCCCCGATGTATAACTGGTCGCAGTCCTCCTGGCACTTAACAGCATATACAACATTGCTCTGTTTGTGCCGGGGCACCGGATCTTTGGGGTGAACCAGCCTTTGCCGTAATGTGTTTTGGGGTTTGAAAGCCACTGGGACATCATGTTTAGAAAATAAACGTCTCAGTTTCTCCGGAACACCCGCAACATACGGAATAACCACTGGTTTGGGTCTGGGTTTGGGGTCTTCATTTTCACCTGAAGGTTGCATGGAATCCTGTCTACTTTCAGGAAAGCCCAGTCAGGATAACCACACTGCTCCAGGGCCTGTCGTGTGTGTGATTTCTCTTTCTCCCTGGCTCCTGGGTAATGAGGAACTAAACGTGTTTCAGAATACATTTCATACATTCATCTATTTATTCCTCCTGATGTAACCTGTGTTGGAACAAACAGTAAAAAATGTTACACATTCTGATTCATTAAATTCAGTGTTTTAAAGACAGGAAATGAGGATGATATACACTGTACACCATGTTTCTAATACAAGGTACATGGGCCAAATCGGGTCCTTGTTACCATTTTATCCGGCCCCAAAGGTAAATGTGAAATAGTTGGGGTTTCTCTTTTTTGCTTCTGTATTTAATACATTCTTCTCATGACAGCTGACCAAGAAAATTATGTTTGAATTTTTTTATTGTGATCTTTGATTTTGGTGAGAATACGTGACGAGAATCAACTTTAATTTTGATTATGTTTTTCAGCATTTTTTTTCTTATTTTGACATCAAATAAGGAAATTTTAGTGAGGACGTTTTTCTTTTTTTTATCCAATTTGCTGGATTGTGATAATACAGCTAAGATAATAAATTAAAACGTTGATAGAGGCATATAAAAGCACGTGCCTTTTTAAATGTATTTTTCTTTATTCATTAGGTCATGCATGTTCTAAATGTTAGCCTACATTAAACAATTTGGAAAAGATCATTAGCATTTTTTATAAAATAATTTGCTATAAATTTTTCAGTAAATATTGACTGAAATTGGCACTGCATCTAGTTTTTTTTTAATATTGGCAGGCTTGTGTAACAGAGTTGAACATCCCTGATGTGTAAGGGATTTTCAGTACATGACTTTCCCTACACGTGTGTCTGAAAACGTGCAGAGTGTCATTACCTGTGATGTTATTGGTTATCCTGCAGTCTCCAGACTCACAGCACTGACCCAGGCTACAGTACCACTGATGCAGCAGGCTAACGTAGTCCTGAGGAAAACCTGCCCAGGGCTCCCCGACAGGAACTAAAGCACAAGAGCAAATGAAGTCAGCTTGTGGAGTGACAAATAATGCATATATTATATGTGGGAAACATTGCAGCGGTTGTAGGGAATTTAAACAGAAGCTACCACGCGCTAAAAAAAAAAAAAAAAGTCAACCGAAAGAGTAAAATAAAAACGATTTTTTTTTTTGGCCGTCTTACCTTGCTGTGTGGCATCGTCCTGGTGGGGCTGACACTCCCCCTCCCATATGTTGCAGTAAAAGTAATTAAAATAGTAAGAGGAAACGTTGCTAATGCTGCCGAAGGGGAAGAGGTCGGCCTCTGCTGCGGACAGCGCGCAGACCAGCGGCAGCAGCCACCGAGCTAACATCAGGGGAGCAGAGGGAAGACGTTCCGCGGCGGGGTCCGGGAGGAGGCAGCTACACCCCAAGCTGTTCTTCTCTCCCCATTTATTTGACCCAGCTCACTCACCCACCGGCGGACCAGTTTCTGTGAGGTGGGGTGGGAAAACTCGCTCCACCCTCGCTTCCTGTGAACGTCGTGAAGTACCTGCAGTTAGCTCCGCCCATCCAAAGGCAGGCGGCAGCGACTGGGCGTTGCCAGATATGCTGCTGTACAATCTCGTTTAGAAACAGAACGAAAATTTCAGGGCTTAAAAGGTTTAAGCAAATTAGATTTTCCATATTAAAAAAAAAAAAAAAAAATTGAGATCAATATGCAAGATCGTTCAAAAGCCTAGTTTACATAGCTATAGTGAGCTCTCTGGGAACCCTAACCTGGTAGTACAATTGTCATTTCAAATTTGGCAACCCTGTAGTTATTTTACGTGGTGCCCAACTCGGAAATTTCAAATATTTATACGTTTATTGTGCAAAACTAAAGGGTGTGATGTTTGAGTGTGCTACTTTAAGCTACATGTTTTAGTCAAACACACCTATTAAACTAAACATTGTTAAAAACTAATTATGAAGGCAAACTAAAATCACCTATCCCATATCTAATTATATAGAAAAGCACAGACAAATCACACTGAGTTTAAATTTTATTTTGTGAAAAAGACTTCATTAGCACAACAGATACACTTAAGACTTCAGAAACTAAAGTTCCAAGAAGTTGGATGGCCGATTGTCATCGCATAAATCCCAGATGATTTTGTCCTCGTTTGTCCTCAACCTTAAAAAAACAAAAAAATTATTAGAGAGAGGGACAGAGGAAAATACATTAACATTAACAGACCAAACAACCTCAGACAAAATGGAACGGTAAGGGTTATAATCAGGGTTCATTTGGCAGAATCTTTTCTTCACAGGTTGATTGGTCAGCTTAAAAAAAATAAAAATAAAACATTAAATCTAATAAACTTTGACAACACTTACCACTTCACTAATACATGTCCCTGAAAAACAGAAAAGGACAAACTTATTACACATCAATGATTGGCTTCCAGAACTTGAATGTACAGGGCTGCTCAGTAACACATTTGTCCACAACATAGTTCAGGTCAGACATTTGTTACAAACATCACTGAACCCATCATTAGTTTCTACACTACTGAAGTCTTTCTTACCAGTTTGTCCTTGCTTTGCTACTTCCACACTGCAGTCCAAGGTGAGGTGAATACCTGAGAAGACAGTAGAATTAGTCAAACTCAGGCATTAAACAGAAATACTATTACCTCTACACTGACCGTATCAGCTAGAGCTAATAGAAAAGACTTCATTAAAAAAGTCAGTTTTAAATCGATCATCACACAGGCCAGAGCCCAGTTCTACTAGTCACCTGGGTTTAAAGGAACCAGGGATGCAAAGTTCAGACTCACCATGTCAGTTTAATGTCTTCTGCTTCACAGGTGGACTCAGTCCTACATGCTGCTGATGAAAAAAAAAAAAAGAGAAAATTAATTGTAATTTAGGACATTCTGTAGTTTGTAGTCTTAATAGTCAAATCAGACTTTGATAGTAATCCTCAACTGGATCAGCGACCTGATTCAAAATCATCACATCTGAAAAACCATAGGTATTTAAAAAAATTTATTAAAATGCTTTTACCATCAAGCCTCTGGAGAATCTCCAGGTGTGAAGGCCTGCAGGAGAAATAATCATCAATACTTTGTCTTCTGTTCTAAACTGAGCTAGAAGAGTTCCAATTGACACATCAGCTAGAGGCGAAAGACATATTTCATTCTTCATTGTAATCTGCTGAACTATGCACTCATCATTGTATCAACATTAATACAAAGTGCAGCATTTTAGCATGAAACTCACCTTCACCTCCAACCATATAAACCCATTCTTCCTTGTGGGTCACTGGTGCATATGTCCAGCAATCACTGAAACACAAAAAGGAAAAATAAATTCAAAATCTCTCCAGTTATGGTGAAACGGTGAGCACACAGTAAGAGGCTGACACATCAGATAGGAGCGAAAGACATTTTTCTTCGTCATAGTTATCTGTTGAACTATGTAATCATCACAGTGTCAGGGTAGCTGAGGTTTAACAGGCTGAACTGTTTCATTATTTTACCTTCAACTGATCAGAGAATGAACAGGAGGGAAGAGCAGTCCAAGAACCTGCAGGACAAATGAAGACATTACTAAAAAGCTTAGCCCTTTGTGCAATGGCAAGTTTTAAACTAAACTGCATCAGAATAAAGTCATCTTTCACTCTTTTTCAGAGAGATTCCCATTGTTTTTTAAACAGAATCATCATTAACAGCATCAGAATGTCATCATTAAGTAAAATAGCTGTAATCACCTGATCAACCCAGGAGTTTCTTCATTCAAGATTTACTCTGCAGGAAAATATAAAAATAAATAAACAAATCCGTTAGTAGTGGTCCATCTTAATCTGGAAAGGCAGAATATTATGAGTGCCTCAGATAAATCAAAAAGGTGGTTGGAGAATCGTCATCCATTTTGTCAAGAGTAGCAAATATTTGTCATCACTGTAGCACAAGGATCACGCAAAAGCAGAATAGAAGCTGGATGACGCATCCCTGAGGAACCACCCAACCCCAGACTTATTTTAAAACAAGACAAAAAAAACAGTTTTTGTCTTGTTTAACACCATCATTAACCCTAGGCACCTCAGGGAGGCAAAAATCCAACTACTACATTTTAAGGCCAGCAGATTTACCTTTATCCTGCAGGTCCTTCATGCATCCTTCTCTGAAACCTGAGGAAACACTCATTAGCACAAATTGACATGAAATAAAAAAGTACATTTTTCTAAAGAACAGCCTCATTGTGGAAAATTTCTCAGAAATGTATTCTGTCCACTACTCTTAAACAACATAATCATTGACACTTATACAGGAAAAAAAACCCCAGAATTTATGAATTACACATACCTGTAGAGTAAAGGCTCGTTTCCACATATTGACATCATCATCATAAACCCTATAAATAACAAAAATATATTGTAAACACAAAGCTAAACACATCTTTGTTACTGCAGCTAAAATAAACAGTCTGCACCAGTCTTTAGGTGCTGTCTCATGGAGTCGGTTAGTACTTTACTTCACCATAGTAATTCAGCTGATACTCCCCAACAGTTTATCACACAGCATTAGGGTTGGGTAATATTGGCAAAAAAAATTAATCACGATTAATTGCAGTATTTAGCCGATAACGACTAATTTGACGATTTATGCCCTGGAGTCCCTGAACACCCTTAAGTCCTAGTCACATGACCAATTCAGTGGTAAAGATTTGTTTTTCGTAAAAATCTGTTCCAAATTGTGTCAAAATCACAGACTTCAGGCTGTACATCAGTTTTAAATTGTGTTAATGTTCGTCATATTTGAAGCAGATTGGAGAACCGAGCAGACTGACTGGAGAAATCTCCCCTGGTGGCATTAATCATATTAATTGTCAAGTGCCAAAAAAATAAAATACAAAAAAAAAAAAAAAAACAAAAAAAAACAATTGGTTAATGTTCTGATGATTAATTTCACACGATACAATTATGCCCAACCCTAAACAGCATAGGACCAAACTACAACTAGAGTAAAGCTGGATAATGCCTCCTCAAGGAGTTCAGTATTTGAATCATATTCAAAAATATATTGAGTTTGTCTCCCCCTTATTTGACAAAGGGCAACCTCAACAGAACAGCTGCATAACTGTAGTTGTAAAACATAAAACTGAAAATGTTGGGGGCACCTCAGAGCCAAAAACACCACTTAAAACAGAATTTGTGATTACATACCTGTTGATACTTGTTCCTAAATATTGATAGGACCATCAACCTTAAACAAAAAGAAAAAAAATAATTTAAATGCAAAACCACATTTGTTACTGCATAAGTACATCACCACACTATCATTTATCAACTCTAAATAGGCCTCAGTCTGATCCAAATTTTGCATAAAATTGTGATCTCAACTCATTTAAAGAGCACTTACGTTTCGAAACATCTAACCCACAACTCTAACAGCTTTAATTAGACCAGACGTAAAACTAGTTTACGGAGCTTTGCTGCAGCAGGAAGCACGCAGCTAAAATCAACGGCCCGAGTCTTTAGCTTCTGTCCCATGAAGTCAGTTGTTGGTGGTAACTCTTCAGATTTATTCAGATGTCCCTACCAACAGTATCATCATACAGCATGGGACGAAGCTACATTGAAAGGTTTAATGTAGCTAACTTAAGGTTTAGCCAGAAGGCAAGCTAGCAACATGCGCTCAAATAGCACGTGGCTGAGGCCTAGAATCTAACTCTGAAAATAAATCCTTAATTCACATTGCTGCAGCAATATCTAAACATCCTAAACATGTAATAGGCTAATAACCTCTATTTCCCTTTTTATTTTACAAAACAACACGCTTTAAATGTCAACATATAACTACTGATATCTACTCACCAACATGAAACGGAAGAATGAGACCGAAAAGCACGCGCAGAGAGCTTTTATAGAAGTTCCCGCAAAGGTTTATGGGTACCAAAAATAGCCGGAAGTTGAGCAAATCCGGAAGTGATGGAAGGCACATGTGACCTTAAACATTAAAAACTCCTTTTTTACATTTGAGTGCGTGTAGCAGTGGTTTTAAAAAAATTCTTAGCTTCCTGCCCACAAAATAATAATTGCAGAAACTTGTAACACCAGATATAACTGGTTAAGTAAGCAAATTTGGCTAATAACTTTGTTAAACATGGGCATAATAACAATATAAACAAAACGAATAACTACTTTTATTCAACCACTGGTCTAAAGCATCTATCTTTGCTTGTTTGTGACCACTGACAAAAAAATTTAAAAGCCACAAGTTCAAAATCTAACAGAAATATGTCATCAATTGTAAAACAGGTTATGCTGAAAAGTAAACAAATGTTTGCTACATTACTTTTAACACAGAACTAAATCCATCCATCCATCCATCCATCCATTTTCTTCCGCCTATCCGGGGTCGGGTTGCGGGGGCAGCAGCTTCAGAAGGGAGGCCCAGACCTCCCTCTCCCCAGCCACTTCTTCCAGCTCCTCCGGGGGAACTCCAAGGCGTTCAGAACTAAATATAGAGCTTTAATTTTTTTAATCCATGTGTTTTTATTAAAATGCTTATGGATCATGATTGACAGTGAATAAGAACTAAGACCAAAACTTGGGAATTAACTCATGGAGATTTAATATTATGCATCAATAAACAGGAGAACTGGATACAATCAATGGTTATGATGAAAATAAAAAATACATTTGTTTTGATTGCTCTCTATCAGGCAATACTGAGAAACTGAAATGAATGGCAAGGCCTCCTTTTAAAAGGCCATACAAAAGACAAATTACAGAGAGAAAAAAAAACAAAGATCTGGTTTCAAATTTAGTTCCATTTCATTTGGACCATTTCAAAAGCACTTTAGCTTGCATCTATAGAAAAGATAAAGTAAAACGCTACGAATAAGAGATTTTTAACATGTATATCTGTAGATCATAAGCGGCATCTTCATCAGATTTAATTCAAAAGATCTTAATTTATAAAGTAATTATCATTAATGGGCAATAAACAATCAAATCTAAACTAAAATTGATAAGAAAAGGAATAGTTTTGAGCTTAATGGCATCGTGAGGTTAATCACCTTTTTTAAATCATTGATCACAAATTTCATTGGATTTTGATCCAAACTGTTGCTGTAAAAAAATAATAAAAACTGTAGCGGCACTCTGAAATAACAGCAGTGTTCCAAAATGTCCACTCTGGCTGTGTGACGGTGGACACCCCGTCCATCCATCAACACAAGAAAAGAAACAAGAACGATGTGCAGAAAAAAAAAAACTTCATGGACTATTGTAGCCGTCAATGCTCATCACAGACTGGTTGTGCTGTAAAACTAAAACATGTAAACAATCACTTTGTTCATAAATGCCCTCAGGTATTGTGAATCCCTCATGAGAGGATTGTTTGTTGGCTGTCCAGCTCAGAAAAAAAAAATCCATTTAACCTTTTCTTCAAACATTTATTTTGGCATAACTGACACTGAAACTGATTTGCATATATTTAAATATCACCACTCCTGATTTTTGTTTAGATGCCATGGCTCATGTAGGGTTTTGCTTCTGGATAACACTTAAGACACAAACTGATGTGAAGGACCACAAAGGTGGCAACGTTTCCTCTGAAATGAAAACATCAAAAGGCTGAATGGAATGACCCTTAAAGACTTAAAACCATCAAGTGTATACTCCCAGTTATTTTACACTATTGCCAAAAAGAAAAAAAGCTTTAAAAAAAAGAATATATACTTATCTTTCAATCTTATGTATATTTATATATAAACATCAGTTGCAGGTGAGCAGAGAAGCTCTCTGTCCAACATTCATCTGCTCCACTGTTGTAAGGCTGTCAGACTGTGGGAGGGGCCAGCAGCTTTCTTTCCTCAGTCACCAGATTCCCTGAGATGTAGAGCGCTGTTTTTGATTTCGTTTTGTTGCCGAGCTTTACTTAAATTGTACACCATCATCTACAAACATCTTGCCTCCCCCCTGAAATAACAAAGGAAAACAAGTGCTGCTCTGGATCATGTCGTGTAGCTGTTGAAAGGGTGAGGTGGTGGAACTGATGGATGAAGCAGGGAGACGTCTCATTTCTGCGCTGCAGTCTCATGTTGTCAGGTGGTCGGTGTCGGAGGCCAGCGGAGGTGAAATCGCCCAAAGAAAAAGAAAAGATTTACTAATATTCAGGTTACATCTTTGATGCTTTCATTCAGTTTTTTTCTTCTTTTTTTGTTACAGTCAAATGCAAAGCAGTGTACATATTCAATCAATCATCCCAAGGCTTGGATAAGAAGTGTTTTTTGTCAAAGAGTTCTTATAAAGACTCTTGTCTGTGCGCATTTCTTTATGCACTTGTTTGTGTTCATCAGCGGGCCGGTGTCTCCTCAGTGCCTCTGAGAAGCTAATCTCTTTAATAGCGGCTCATCATAGACCCAACATTCGCCATCTTCATGGAAAAGCTGCAGAAACACAATAAAAACAGCCTGTTTAATATTAGGTTCATTCAAATATCTTTAAATAACTAAATAAAACTGAATAAATATGTATTGTACGTTTTGGTAAAGTGCCTATTAAAATTAAATTATTCACCTCCTTGAATGCTTTTATTGGTGTAAAAAAAATCAATCCTGGTCAAAAGAAATTAGGCTTCTTTAAAAAAAAAGGAAATTAAGAAAAAACTTTTTTAATGTCAAAATCAGAGCTGCCAAGGTATGAAATACAAATATTTCATTACTTAAGTAGAAATTTTGGTTATTTGTGCTTTACTGGAGTCATTGTTTTTAGCCTACTTTTCACTTCTACTTCTTTCATATTAAAATTACAGAAAGTATTTGATTTCTGTTTCACTTCAGTTTGTTTTTATTCCAGCTAGTTATTGTTTATAGGAAAAAAAAAACTATATGGTGCCTCCTGGATAAAGTGACTACTCTAATTTAAAAAAAATAATTTTTAAACCCTAGTATGCATACTTCTACTTAAATAATAAATATGAATATTTTTTGACACCTCTGGTCAAAATCAAATACAATTTTTACAGAGTAATTATAATTAAATAAATGAAATAAAGAAAAATGTGGAATGTAAAATCAGTAATTGTATAAGTTTTCACCCCGTTTAATGTGACTGTCCTAATTGAACTCAGGGAAAAGTTTACTGAAGAGCACAAGTCAATCGATGGCTTTCAAAGGATTTCCAAGGTTTTAAACAAAGGAAGGACTTTGGGACATGTGTAAATTCTACCAAGAGCAGGACGTCCTCACAAACTGAGCCAACGTGCAAAGAGGAGAATAATGAGAGAGACCACCAAGACACCAGTGAGCCCTCAGAAGGAGTTACAATAGAAGGGACAGACTGTGTCTGAGCTTTATGGGAGAGTGGCAAAGAGAAAACCACTGTTGAAGAAAACTCATTAAATCTCCACTTGAGACTCTAGACCCCCCACCTCTCATCCCCCCACCATTCAAGTTGCCCATCCCTGCTCTAAATCTATAACCACTCTAGTTTGTAGCAGCTAGAAGCGACTGTTCTGCCAGCCCAGAAAGCCTCACCCTCGTCTCCCACTGCTGCTCCTTCTCTTTCCTCTCTCTGGCTTCGGCTCTTTGTTTCTCCTCCAAACGGTGCTTGGCTTCTGTCGCAGCTTCGATGTCTTTCAGCTTCAGGTTCAGCGTCACATCCCTCCATAGTCTAGTGCAACCAGAGTCAGGTCAGATTCAAGGACATTATGAAAGCCTGTTCATGTTGGTAACAGATTCTCCCCTCACCTTCTGGATTCATACTCGAGCTGGTCCTCCAGCTTTCTCACTTTCTTTTTAATGATGCCCATTTTCTTAGTGTCTATAAACAGTGTGTTCTCCTAGAATCACAATTAAAAAATAAAATTAGATCTCATTGGCATTTGTTAGCTGAAAGTGCTAACTCTTTTACAACTTGGTTGATTTGTGTTTCATGGACAAATAAAATAATGATGTTGATCCAGACTATTTAGTTGACTATTTAGGGAGCTAAATTCTACTGTTAAAATAAAATCTTAAAAACATAAAATCATAGAGCTCACTCCAGTCGCCCACTTGGCGTACATCACTCCATTCCATTCTCCTTCAATGGAGCAGAAAGACTTCTTGTCATTTGGTGCGCTGCGAGAGAAAATAAAATTAAAAAAAACCACTGTGCTTTCACATAAAAAGGTTGAGTCGACGAGTTCAAAATCTCTGAGCTTACAAAATCTCAGCTGTGATTCTGTGCTTCTTCCCGCCGTAGAAGGGTTTGGTGTGGAAAACGATGTTGGCGCTGTAGCCTGACTTGGAGCAGGAGATGTTGCACTCTCCACCCAGCTCCACCCATGGCACCGTTAGAATGGATCTGCGGGGCGGGGACAGGCTCAGGTCAAACGGGCCTTAACTAGTCAGTGACAACACAATGACAACACATACCTGCCGTATCCATTCGGGAAGGTGAGAATGTAATGCTCATCATACTCCAAACATGAAACACAACCTGGATAAAGATCAGAGGATACTTACAACTCCCAGAACGCAGAGGAGAAATTAAAAAAACAGAACATGTTTCAAGAAGCTTCTAATTTACCTTGACCGATGTTGTGCACACCTATCGACATGCCAAGAAACTTCGACTTAGTCCAGATGTGAGCGTTAAACTGGATCTTCTTATTCAAACACTCTGCGTAGAATGCAGAAACTACAGACGGAAGAAACAAAAACAATGAAACAAGCTGCATCTTGGCTGACAGTTTTCTGTTCAAACATTTGTGCAGCGAATCCAACAACAGAGGAATATTTGGTACTCACTGGGTGGGTGGTGAGAGACCTGCTCTGCCACAAAATTCACACTGTTGGACGAAGACCAGGGAACCGGACCGTCTGACACTGTCTCCTTTGGTTCAGCGGAGCAGATGAGAAAGGAGTGAGTAAGAATACAGAGAGTAAAAACAAAAACCACAACATGCTAACACTGTTAGCGCTTCCAAGCTAGTTTAGTTTACAAACCCAGAGAATATGAAGAACACAAAAACCTTTCACTCACACACAACAGAAAATATCCAAATGACCCTGATCAATTTTGCTTTCTTTGATAATTATTTTGCTTTCCTCATGGCTCGGAATCAAACAACATCAGCACAACACTGGATGAAACACGTTAGCAGCCTAGAAACTCGCGACTTTACACAGTAACTAATCACAAGCAAACAGATCAAAGGTGAGGATGGGTACCTTTAGTATCCATCTACACCTGTGTGTGTCTGTGTGTAAATTATTGTGCCAAAATTTCACAGCTTGCTGACAGAAGTTTTCACAGAACGTGTCATTGGAACAGGCTTCTTTCTCCACTTGCCTCAAGTCAGTGACAATCATCACTGTACCTAAACAGCTATCAGGTCTCTAAATGACTTCCGGCCAGTGGCCCTAACATCGGAGGTGATGAAGTGTTTTGAGTAACTTATTCTGGGTCACTTGAAGAAAACTGCATCCCTTCCTTCTTGGACCAGCACCCGTTTGCCTATAGAGCAAACAGGTCAACAGAGGATGCTGTGTCACTGGCTCTTCATTCTGCCCTGACCCAACTGGACCAGCGTGATTGCTATGTGCGGATGCTATTTACCAATTATAGCTCTGCCTAAACATCGGAGCACCACAGGGCTGTGTTTTGAGCCCCCTCCTCTACTCCCTCTATACACAGAACTGCAAACCAATCCACGAGACCAATTCCATCATACAATTTGCAGGTGAAACCATTGTAATAGGAAGGATTACATCTAGTGATGAGACTGCCTGCAGATCAGAGCTCGAGAAGCTGAAGGGCTGAAGTCAAGAAAACAACTTGATCCTCAACGCAGCAAAGAGGAAGGAACTGATCCTGGACTTCAGGAGACTGAGACCCTGCGTCCATCATCCAATCACAATCTGCGGGGAGAGAGTGGAGGTCGTGCGGAGCATCAAGTACCTCTGAATCAACATCAGGCATGACCTGGACCGTCAATACCTCAGCGGTGGTCAAGAAAGGTCTCCAGAGGCTTCACTTCCTGAGATGCCTAAAGAGAGCATGGCTCCCTCAGCAGCGTCAGCCATTGAATCTGTTCTCACATGCTGGATCTCAGTAGGGTATGGTATGGCTGCACTACAGACAACAGAAAAGCTCTCCAGCCTATTATTAAGACTGCAGCTCCTCAGACTAGACGACATATATAAGACACACTGCACCAAGAGGGTCACAGCCATAATGACCAGTACACACCCTGGACACTGCCTCTTTACCCCACTGCCCTCTGGAGACCCTACAGAGTACTGTAGCATGGACCACAAGACAAAAGCAGCTTCTGTCATTGAGCTGTTACACTGCTGAACACTGTCCACAATAAACAATCAACCCAATGGATTATTTCACATTCACTACGTCACTTTAAGTATATTGCACTCAGCTCCTTAACGTTATTGCCTATTTACTGTTAAAACCAGATTTCTAATCACAGGTGTATATATATATATCTGTATTTTGTATTTTACTTGATGTTGGCACCCGGAGGATTGTTCCAACTAATCTTATCTTACGTAACTGTGTAGCTTCATTTTTGTGTTGTAAACTAAGAGATTTGCATTTTCAGCTTCCTGGAATTCGCTGCAGCAAGACCTGAAACTCTCCAGTTTGATCCCACTGGGTCATTTTAAACACATCTTAAAGGAAATGGAAAAAACATCATTTGACTCGTGCTCATGCTTTTAGGTTGCGTGTTTAACTCCGCTTTCCCTAAATTGTAAGTTGACATTCATGATCTTCATGTAACAGGTCTCTCTTGTAAATGAGACGACACGTCTCAGTGAGATTACCTGCCTAAATAAATATATTAATTAAAATAAATAAATAAAATTATGCTAACAGTTTTCTATGGGGTTTTTTAGCAGCTAATTAGCACAATGCTAATGCTTATTTCTTGCACAATAGGAATTAATATTTATATCTTATCGAGTAGTATTTAAATGTGATTTAAATTCGGCACAGCTTTAGTTGTGATTTGTTTAAATAAATTACTATGACGGTTAAATGCATGTTTTTAAATTTGGGTTTTCACAAATATTATAAAATAGGGGCTTTGAACAAAAAAAGGTTGGGAACCACTGACTTAGCATAGCAAAAATATTTCCAAATAATAACGGAAAGAACTACATTGGTCAGATGACTCACCGTATGTGGAGGAGGCTCGTCTGTCTCGTTGGGAAGATCCCAGTGGCAGAAGAAGACTTCGCCCAGAATTGGATTATACGGTTTCTTGGCCACCGAGCCTTTCCTCCCAGCGTGGAAGGCTGACAGGTACCACTTCACCACCTGAACCATGCGCTCTCTGGGCTCTAGCTGGTCAGCGATACTACAGGAAAAAACAATCCAACAGCATTAAATGTCATTATAGACAATCTAATCCTAGCTTATTTAGAAGAGATTATACAGGTGTGTAGATATCAAAGCTCACGCACCTTACGAATAAATCTGGATGTGCAAAGAAGTCCGCGTACATTTCTAACAACGATCTCCTCTCTAAGATGAAGGTGGGCAGGACCACCTAACAGGTGAAAGGAATTTGTTTTGTCAGCTTAGCGTTTAAAACTGACCCCTACTGGGAGAGAAACAGGGTTCCCAGCGTTTCATGAAAACAAAATTCAAGTTTTTCTTTCATTTGCAGAGTTGCTGGGAACCCTGGGAAAGATGGCTGGAACAGAAAACCATCAGACTGGAGGTAAAAAAACAAAAAGAGGCTTACTTTCGTGAGGTCCATCCCCAAGCGAACTTGAGAGAGCAGATGCATGATGACGCTTTTGTGCTCTTCCACAGACTCCCCCTCACCATCATCATCACGGTCGTCATGGCTATCAAACTGATCTGAAAAAAATAAATAAAAATAAAAAGTGTCATCGATGAATCACATTTTAAAACAAACATATTTTTACAACTACATAACAAATGATGGATGTATCTGAAATGTTTCTTTTACCTTTAAGAATTTCTGACGCTGAATAAATCAAAGTGATAAATCATATTTCTTTTTAATATTCATGCATGTAGAGCAGGACGTGTGCTTTTTATTGTGCTATAGATGGACTTTCACTCTGACATACAGAATCAGGTAAATGTTAATAAAAGATGCTTCACTTTATAAGAAAACCAATTTAATTTTTCAGATTTAATGTGTTAATCATGTAACACGTCTTCTTCAAATAGTTGTCTTTTTAACTCGATTATCATCTGAGTCTTCACTTCTCTGAGCTTAGAGTTTACTAAACTAGGTACCAAAAAAGCTTAAATATGCTTTCATTTTTTATTTACCTGCGTCTGTGGTGCCATTGGACATGGATGAGGTGAGGGATTCGGTGGTATTGGGTCGTTTCAATGCAGTTTCTTCATTAGCGGCGGGCTTTGCGGAGGGCTGTCCTGAGGGTCTGGATTAGTGGAACAGAAAAGATCACATCAAAACAGGAAGCTGGAAGAATGAGGCAAATGGATTTTTAGTCATTTTAAGTCCCCCCCACCACCACCACCACCTGAGATGCTAATCTTTATAACGACTGCTGCTTTTAAGCTACAAAAAGACAGATCTAAAGTCAGGCACTCACTCTACGCTGTGTTTGGGCGAAGTGTTGCTCTGGTAAAACTCATCAGCGTCATAGAACTCATCCTCGCTAGAAGAGTAGGAGAAATCTGGCACTGAGTGTGGGGGCAGAGGGATGTGAGCTGGAGAGGCAACGCCACTGCTGGGGCCTGAAGGACCACTCCCTAAAAATAAATAAATAAAAAAAATACACAGTTCAGACAGTGTCGTTCATGTTGAGGCTCTCTTCCATTTAACACGAAATAAAAAAAACAAGCAGGTTTGATCCAGTCTAAAAGATGATAAATCCAGTGGTATGACGAGAAAACTGTGCACAGAAACATTCAGCTGTCTTTAAACACGCTGACTCCTTCCTCTGCAGAGCATAATGACTCTACACTCAAGCATGCAGCAAGCCTCCTTAATGCACCGCACAGCGTTTTAATCCTGCTGCCTCAGCACAGAAACCGAACAGGGAGCAACCTCTGCTTTCTGTGCTTCCTGGGCTTTATTTAATTTACTTAATGTTCACCGACCCAACGTAGAATAATTAATATCACTTCATCTCAGAAGGGTTTAGTTTTTATTACAGTTGCACCCAGCGTATTAAATTTTGGGGACAAACTGTTCTGTTTTTATAGAAAAAGTAACAACGTGGCTGCGTATCTTGATAGTCAAGCACAACAAGATATTTGGCTTTGAGACAAAAATGCAACGAAGCAAAAAAAAGTATCAAGTTTTCATAAATTCAGTTTTGCTCCTGAATCTGCGGTTCAAACTCAACCTTTAAAGAAAACCTGTAAGAATAATAAAGCATAATGTTGTACGATTTCTGTTCTCTCTTGTAAATGAGACTAAATAAAAGTAAATAAAAACAATAATCTGTTACAAGTAAAGCATCATAGCTAATAACTAATCATGACAGATGTGAGCACGTTCTTAAAGTGCCTTTGATGTGCATTTCCTACAAATACAAAAACTGGAAGACAACATCTTAATATTTAAAAAGTTTAGCATAATGTACACAATTTTATCAATTTTGCAGCTGAAATATGAAGTAGACTTACTTCTTGCGTAAATAAACAGTTTATTTCATATTTAGCAGTTCTTATTTATCATTTTTTATTCTAACTGGGTGAATATGTTCGTGTAGTGAGAAAACAACCTGTCACAGAATAAAATGAAAGTTTACCTGTGCTATTGGGAGTTGGGGTCTGCAGACTGCCCATCACTGTGACCACGGGACCAACTGGTAACGTGGAGGGTCGTTGGTCTGATTTACACACCTGAGAAGCGTCTTTGGGGACAAAAAAACAAACAAGTAGACAAGTTAGAACTGAAGGAAGATTAAAAATCACCGTTTCATCTCAAGTGCCAACAAGTAGGAGAAAATGATCTGACAGACAGAGGATTTGGCTGCGGGGGAGGGGGTTTGAGGGGATTACATAGTTTATTTAAAATACCAAAATTAGAACAACCCACTGTGAAGTGTTCATTTTCACAGCATTTATAATACAGCTGAGTCATCGTCATCTGACCCAGACCAGCAAAACACTGAGCAAAACTTATTAATGATGAAGAAATAACAGTAATAAATTTACTTTCAGAGATAAGTGGGAAAAAAGAATATAATTACACAAATACTTTATAAATATTAAATAAATGGAATTGAGTTTCCTAAATGCATTAAAATAACATTTATCAAAATTACTACTCATATTTTATCAGTAGTTTCAGGCTTTACTCCAAATAGTTAAATTTTCCCATGCTGTTATATTTTGTCTGTGCAGAATAAATGATATTTAAATAAAAGCCTTACAACACATAAAAACTGCGGTTGGTCTGAACAGCAGGGGGCGCTATTGTCACAGTCAAACCGATTACACAACATCAACAGCAGCTTTGGAAAATGCTGATGCGTGAGTGACACAGTGGTACCTGTGGGTAGTGTGGTCTGTGTTGGCATTGTGGTGTTGACTACAGGGGTCTCCAGTGGAGGCTGGTAGATCCCATCCACTGGGTTTATGGTGCTCTGGAGAAAGAAAATAAAAAAACGCAACATCAACAACAAAAGCACCTGGCTGAGTGAAATACTCACACCACTGCCTGCACCACTGTTCAAGATCTTCTTCATGTTTCTATGCAATTAAAATAGACTCATTCCTGCAATTAAAAAAGGGGATTTATTTCCAGAGGTGTACCCAAGTCCAAGCAATTAAATATAAAACACACAAACCTGGCAGATAAAATGTTGCTTCAGTTTAACAGGTTACTGCAATATCCCAACTGACACAAACAGATTAAAAACGCACCAAAAACACAATGAAACTGACCTTCACTCTCCTGCAACTGACCCTCAGATCTCTTCAAGTTAGTCATTGTGGTGTAATGTTTCTTTATTATTAGTTGAACTACAACTAGAAAATGATCTGAGATTAGGAGGGACAAGCAGGATGAGTCAAAACAACGACTTTGTTCTGAGACACAAAAGAAAGAAAAAACTGCAAAGTGACGTTATCTAGAATCTAAAAATCGATTTCTAAGAAAATAACACTTTGTGCTTTGAAGTGAAAGTAACAACACAAGAAAAAATTAAAATAGAAATCTCAATTCGTAGGGATCAGAGGTGGAAATTTCACTCTTTGCCGTTTTGATTTGTTCCTTCACTTCATCTTTATTGCACAGCTTGTTGCAGGTCGTGTCCACGTGTCTTTGAAAAAAAAAACTAAGTCAGTAGCTACTAATAATAGCCAAAAGCAGAAATATTGGTCCGTCACGGCGGGGCCAGTCAGTCTTCGGCCTCGCAAATGAGAGATGAACCAGAAGCAGATGAAAGAAGGGCAGCGGGGCATCAAGAACTGTTCCATCTAAAAAGCTTGTTAAAACCACGCTATGATTGATTTTTATTTTCCTAAACGAATGCAGTATTTATGCAGCAAGAAGCTCTCCCAGCATGGCTAAATATCTGTTTGTATCCAAAATATCATGACGAATAAATACTGATCTGACTGGTTGTCTCTTTGCTTTAAACAAATTATTCACATTGGGGTCATTTTCCATGCAGTGGTATCTCTACGAAGCATGTTGTTAGTGTTTTAGGCAGAAGACGATCAGACACACAACATAGCAGACCTTTAAAAAAGGCCTATAAATGCTCACATATCTTAGGGAGAAAGCTTCTGACATAAAACATGAAGTTATCCAAGTGTACGGAGCTCATATTGTGTTATTTATACTACATAACACTGTACTTAATGACTGTGGGATTATGTCAGCAATAAGAGGCGACTCACCGTATGAGTGGTCTGGCCTCTGTGGGATTGATGCGTCAGGAACTATACTGGAGGTTTCTGTGCTAGACCATTATTGACAAATTGCTAGCATTTTCCACAGCATGCAGAGGGCCTTTAGATTGATTATCTGCTTCACAGGAAGTTCTTGATTGTTGCATGATGATGCATCTCTGTAGATTGTTTATTTGCCATCGAGTTTTCTCAAAATGTTACAGCAACACCACTGCATTCTCAGCTTTCTCAAGTATATAATTCCATCAAGGCCAACCAAAACAAAGCTGTTGTTTTTTAAATCTCAGACAAGTTGCCAGATAATATAGAAAATTCCCCTTATTGAAGCTCCTCATTAACAGATGAGAATTGGAGGTATTGATCTTTTTCATACCAATTATCTTTAGATAATGCTGCAGTTTAGGGTCTTAGCAGGACGGGGCAGAAAGGGGCAGGTCGTGGGGGGTGTATGGTCTGTGCTGTGATGAGTTATTTCTCCTGCTTTTAACATCTCTCCATTGCCGCCAAACTTCCTACAAATTTTGTGTCTTTTTATTTGCTTCTTCCTGTAGATTTTTTGGCATTTCTCAAATAAATTTGGGCCTCAGTCAGGAAGGAAGCCGGAGGGTTTCTGCTTTTTTCGGCTCGAGAGAAGGATGAGACTGACGACGGATTGAGCTGTAAATATTTCTCTACATTTTTATGAGCTATGGCTACATCCAAGGCTGAATTGCATTACAGAGACAGAATAAATAGATTGTCATTAAAAAGCCGGAAGGAAAGATTTGTTACTGAGATACGAGGATGACAAAGACTAAATGTACGCTGATTTGGGCTTGCTACCGGCAGTCATTGTAAATGATTTAATTCACAAAAAAAAGTGCCAACACTATGGATAAACTACAATCCTGAAAGTCTTTGGACACTTCCAACCAAAGAAATGGTGGATGGTGAAAGACGTGAGGACACTAAAAACTGAAGAAAAACATTCAACGGTGTTGTTTTGTCCATGAACGTCACTCATTTGCTTTTAGATGTAATACAACATTGGTCTTTATTTCTAGTCTCAAATTGGCATGAATTTAAATTGATATAAACATTTTTACAAGAACAGAAATGTGTTTTTACATGGAATCACTTGGCATTCAGTTTGAGTCCCCATCGTGACTGACTGACAGACTGCTGGATCGGTTTTATTTTTAAAAACACTTGAAATTGTCCTTACTGCTAAAGAAGTGATCGGAGCAAATCCGTGCAGTAGACGGAGTAAGTAAGTAAATAAAGTTTTATTTATATAGCGCCTTTCACAGAAATATATTCACAAGGTGCTGTACAATCAATGAATGGGGGAGGGGGCAGTTAACACCCATTCAAGAAGACACAACATGACAAACGTGGGGGAACAGGTGAAACCGGTCATGTAGCAAACAGAGTGGCGCTACTTTTAACAGAAAAACTAAAAAAACCAGTGTGTTTGTTGTGTGTGGAGTGTGTTTCCTCTGTTTATTAGCTGGCCACACTCACATAAATAAATAAATAAATAAATAAATAAGTAATTAGCTGGCCACACTACTGCTTTTAATCCTCATTGAACCCAGTGACATACAACCATTGTGGTTCTCTCACTCATGCAGTTAATGGAGGGCAAAGCTCAAACAATAACTTTTATTTTACAGTATATTATAAGTCTGTGGAAAAGCTGGTTTAGTTTTTTCCACTAACAAAATAGCGCTGGCAGTCCTGATGTAGGAAGCGTGTCGTGTGAGAACTATCGTTTTATCCTAACTCCAGTTTTATGCGGCCTATCCGCCCAATTGAAAAAAACTGTTTTTTTAGTTTAAAGTGTTTTGACACAAACTAAAACAGAGTCTCAGGGAAGACTCATCTTTCCGGCTAAAGCAACTTAAATAGGTCATGCGACCAGCCAGGTTCCAGAGGATTAATATACCATTGCAATTTTTAAATACAGCCACCATATTTCAGTACAGAGGTATAACACAAAACCATCACACTGCCCAAAACTAATCTGAAAACACTTCATTTACAAGCTGTGATATCTGGAAAACAAAGCTCAACAATGAGCAACACATGGGGAAAAAAATCTTTTACTTTAAATTTGACCATTTGAACCCATGCAATGATGTTTGCTCCCAACAATATGCTGAATGAACATCAATGAGCATTAAAAAAAGACTGAGGAATAATCTAAAAGTTTACAGTGAATGCTTTGAAAACCTTAAAGCCGTTAAATGAACATGTCAGAGTTAAAGCACGTATAGCTTGAGGCTGTTAAATTGCCGTCTGGATGGCTTTCCTGCTATTAGTGTCCAGCAACTCAATAAGCAGGCAGTGTGAGCAGGAGAAATCAATGGTGGACTAGTTAACTTTGAATTGTGTGTGAAGTGACAAGGCAGGCCAACACATGTATTATATGTGCATATAATACTCAAGTTTCAGTTTTGCGTAGCGTGAACGAACAGTTGGTGTTTTAATGAAGACAGGATAGTTCCCAACCACTGCTAAACAGAACTGAAATCCCAGATTAAAACAGGATTGTGAAGTTTTAATCAAGAGGACAGAAGCTGCAGAAACGAGGGACAGAGCTCATCGTTGAATTAAATGGCATGCTCTAAAGATCCGATTCAACAGCCCTTCGAAAGGAGAAAGTAAATTATGCCAGAAGAGAAAGTTAGAAGTTTCTTAATTTGGTTATTATAAATTTTTTTTGGTCATGGACAGAGAGTGTTTAAACTTACTATAAGTCCGTTTGCGTGTTGTTGTTCGTTACTTTGGTCCTTAAAATTTTAAGAAGACAGCGTTAGTCTGCTTTGTGTAGAAAAGTTCAAGAATCATTTCAAAAAGGCCTCCATCTGTGGTGAGACCCGGTTTTTTCCTTTGATAATGTTTAACTCGTCACAAGCAGTGATCATTTCATCACATGGTAAAAAGCCCAATTTTCTTATTAATAAAAAGTACATTTTACTCTGCCATGCCAATCTGTGAAGTCACCCACATTCCCCTTTTTGTTCTTAATTTTGTGTGCGTTGACAGTTTCAAAAGCCAAGAAGTAACACCTAACAACCACATGAACAATTTCTCCACTTCCTCTCAGAAAGCCAAATAGAACATGTGATGAAACAAACACTGGGCTACACCCTCCTCAGTCATTGAACCAGATAGCAACTGTAAGCAGGGAACTTCCACATTAAAAACCGGGGTGATACAGAGCATACATGTCAGGAAAAATGATTTGGATCAAACGAGACATGGAAGATCACAAAGCAAAACACGCAGGGGTTGTGCTTACCTTGGCAATCTGCAGCAGAACGATACAGTGCTTGATGGACTCTACCATACTCTGAAGGAGAAAAAATAAAATAAAACACAGGAATCTGGTAACACCATTCCAAACTCAACAGGAATGGAAACGTGTAAAATATATACTTACACAAGTAGTCTCTTTCAAATTTTCTATTTTCTGTTGAAAAAAGAAAACAAAAAGACATCAGAATAAAGATGTTTGTAGGTTTAATGAAGGTTTCTGTGATCAAATACTTTCGCTAAAAATACAGGAGGAAGTGTTCTGTCACACCACTGATGGTAAACCAACATATAGACAAGTACAAAAAGCATGCACAGATACTGAAACACTTCAAAACTGAGCTACTTCCTCCAACCAAACCAAAACCCCACACTCCTACACAGATAACATTTCTAACAGGCTGAGACTGTCAAAAAGTCAATCCTAAAATTGGATCTACTAAATGTCAAAGCAGCAACTGTTAAACTGATAATAATGAATCATCATAAACATATTAATTATTTTTTTCTTAAAGTCAAAACAAAAAGTTGAAATATCTCTGGTAACAAATGTTTTAAACCGATTTAAACCGATAAATTGTTAGTATTAGTCTATTAAGACCTAAATTAGATGCAAATAATTGTTACTAAAACTATATTTTTTGTTCGTTAACATCTCGTTTTTGCTGCAATAGAAAACTTTACTTTAAAGCTAAAATAATGACGTCAGTAAATACTCAACTGTAACACCGTCAAATATTACAAGTTAAGCTCGTTCAAACAGCTGATTCTACTAAACCCAGATAAAAAACAGAAATGATGAAAATTTGACACACACTGCCTGGCCCAGAAAAATGTCGCCACCTGGATTTAACTAAGCAAAAAGGTACGAGCCTCCTATTGGATAAGTACTGCATGGACGATTCTCTTTTAGCTGGCAGCAAGTTATTTAACCCCAACTGGAAAAGATCTGTTTGAGGAGGGTCAAATCACTGGCATGCATCAAGCAGAGAAAACACCCAAGGAGATTGCAGAAACTGCACATTTTAAGAACTGTCCAACGCATTATTTAAACCTGGAAGGATAGTGGGGACCCATCTCTTCGAGGATGCACCCTTCATGCCTAGTAATCTGGGGTTGCTACAGTTGGTCAGGTCTAGGAAGCTTATCGAAACAATGCCACAGAGAATGTGTGCCATAATCAAAGCTAAAGTGGGTCCAACAAAATGTTAGAGTACGTGACCTTTTTTTTTGGCCAAGCAGTGTATTTGTTTGTGTCCTCAAGCCAGTGGAGATATTTGACATCTAATTAATGCCATCAGACCTTTAAAGTTTAAAAATGTCTCGAGTCTGTCAAAATTATTACATAATGTCTAAAAACAGTTTCTGTAAAGCAGAGGGTTGTCTGAAAAAATGTACTTGGTGGATCTTTGATGCAAACAAACTGTCACATTCTGAGTTAAATTGATCGATTCTTAAACACGCCATATCTGACATATCAGTCTTTGCAGAGTTTCAATGCAAAAAGCCAAAGTGCTGTTGTTGATCACTGCGATGATGTCAACCAGCTACAAGACAAAACATTTGCACCAGATTGACAGTAATAACGTTAATTTTCTCTAATAATAATAATAATAATAATAATAATAATAATAATAATAATAATAATAATGAGAACAGCTAAACACAGAACCGAGGCGCAGGGACAGCTCTGCACTTCTGGTACTCACTCTGCGCGATTCATCCTCTTTGCAGTCTTTGATCTTCTCATCAAACAGCTGTTTCAGGATAAGAGATGAAAAGGAAGAAAATAAAGACAGTCAAATGGGTCAGAAAGGAAAATCTGGAGCCCACCGATGATGTGGTTCAAGATAATGTGGTGAGCAAGAGCAAAATATTCTCACAGGAAAGTATTTTTATTTTAAAAAAATTACTAAACGCATGAGATTATATATATGCAGCAGCCCGTTTTTTGCTTTGTCACAGCACAAAAACGCAACTTCTGATTTATACAATAGAGATCAGCAAAAAAAAAATCATGCAGAACTTTGTGCGGAAGTGAGTGGCTCTGTGTCAAAAAAGACAAAGCTTTCATTTTGTTGTGAAACTTCTGAGACAATAATGGCAACCTTTTTTAAGAAGCATCGCTGAATTCATGAGCTGTGGAGGAAGATGACAAGGATCTTAATGAAAATGAGGAAGAAGAGCAAATTTCCAGAGAATGGGAGGAAACGCGGTAAAATATGGTTATATTAAAGCGTGACGGAAACAGAAACTAAGACACAGATGCAACAAGTTAGGTGGTAGAACACAATTCACGTTGGCGCATTATAGAACGAAACATGTACTCAGGTCCCAGCACGATAAAAGCAACTAGTGCTGGGTGGTATACCGTTTTGTACTGAATACCGGTTTTTATTTTTGTTATGATATGAATTTTTTGAATACCGGACATTCCGGTTCAAATAGCGGAACGTTTCGCTAATAAGCTTTAATAAATAACATTTTTCCTCACCCAGGAGACATTTCAATATAACAAATCAACTCACTTTTTAAAACAAACCCCTTGATATTGTCACTACCTATAAATATCTTGGAATTACTTTGGATTCTCATTTGACTTATCGTGATCATGTACAAGTCTTAACCACTAAGTTGAAACAGAAATTATACTTTTATTCAAAAATTAGATCCAATCTGACATCTTCTGTTTCAAATACAGTATCTATCTTCATGCCATTATACTCTCAACCATGTCGTACTGTTTACCTGTTTGGTCTCTTACAACAAATGAAATCTTAGAACCCATAGTTAGGCTCTACAACAGGGCCTACAAAATTCATAAAAAACTTCCTGGTTTGACTCATCACTGTATAGTTCTTTCATCGTCTGATGCCTCGACTTTTCAGAATTATGTTTTTTATAGTGGTATTAGTTTATATTTTCAGATCTTCCAAGGTGCCAATTATGGAACTCTCTGTGCATTGTTGCCCAAATCAAATTCTGGAAGTGGTCATTCAACTAGATCTGTTACAAAAGGACAACTGATATTACCAACTTTTAAAAACTGTTACGGCCAGAGGTCTTTCTTCTATGTTTATACTAAAGCAGAGGAGCCCAAAGTGGGGCCCGCGGGCCAAATTTGGCCCACAAAGCCATTTGATTTGGCCCACCAACAGTTGCCAAAGTTACAAGGTTGTAACCTGTTATCCTATGTAGAAACACAGTATTTCCATTGGTCAAATGACTTTATAAAAGGGCTGTAGTGAAGGTAGTTTTCTTTCATGGGGCTGACTTTATCTTTGATTTAATAGGATTAACATGAAACATGAAATGACAAGAAGACATATTTAGATCAGATTTAACCCCACACGTAGATTTTCAAACTTTATAAGGACACAAAAACTCATATTTTATCTAATTATGATATGTCCCATGAGCCTTTGCTACTTGAGCGTATGGCAGACTTTCTCCAAGTGCCCTGACTAAAACAAAAGAGGGCCATTGCATAGGTTAATCGTTAAAAATAAAGAACTTTACTTTAAAAAGTATTTGTATTTCATGTATTATATTACTGCATTTGGCCCGCAGCCCCCTATAGATTTTCATTTTGGCCCTCTCAAGGAAAATGTTTGGGCACCCCTGTACTAAAGCATGGAATGACATTCCTCAAAACATAAAGTCCATTTCAAAACTACAGCCCTTTAAGAAGAATCTTGTCTGCCATCTGCTGGACACTTTTTGTTGTGCTCATATTTAGACGTCCTATTTTACAAATACTGCCTTCCTGAAATTTGGTATGCTTGTTTGTCTTTGTGTCTATGGTGTATAATGATGTGATTGTGATGCTGTAATTCTGAGTGTTTTATGTGCTGCTGAACAGGAACCTGCTGTAAAACAGCAATTATGCTGAGTCAGGCTTGATTTTTAATAATCTTTTCCTGTTAAATAAATAAATCAAATCAAATCAACATAAAACAATAAACCCGATCATAATCTTTTCTTAACCCTCCTCCTTCATGACTGGACCAAAATGTGTGACTACTGTCTACAACCACCAGTCAAAGAATAGACACAGAGGAGGGAAACAGCGACACAGACAGAGGTACAGTAAAAGAAAAAAAGTCAATAAGCAGGGTTTGTACATTTTACCATCAGCTGAGCTGTGATGAAAAGAAAAATACCGTCAAATACCGTGAAACCAGTGAAAATATTGAAAATACCCTGATATAAAATTTTGATCATATCGCCCAGCTCTAAAAGCAACCAATAAAAGATAAGAATAATTCTCAAATACAGACTAAAAACATACTTGTAACACGCACAGATTCATAATCAACAAGATAGCAGCAGAACTTAAAGTGTTATTCAAGTCAATTGTTGAAGACTCTTGTATTTTTCCATATAGCGATTTATATTGCAGGGTTAAAAAAGAAAAATGACATCAGATCTCTTCCACTATCATGCAGCTCTAATACACACCTTTAACTGGTCGATCAGAATCTGTAGGTAGGCGTCGGCTTCAGAGAGCTTCTTGTCAAAGTCTTGAACACTTGGAACAAATCCCGTCTCTGCCTCCTGCAGGTAGGAAAACAGAGCAGAGCATAAGTGCATCAAAACAAAAACTGGTAAAAAGGCCTGTCCGTTTTCACACCTTCAAAGTGGAATACGAAACCATTTACACAACATTCATTCATAAAATATTAGTCTGCCTCCATCACCTCCTGACCACAAAAGCTTTTGTACAGTGTTGCACAAAATGGTGGAGAGAAACATCAACATTTCAGGAGAATCTTCCAGCAATGTACAGCTCTGAGTTAAATAGAATATGAGTAGTATTGTTTACATAAAAAGCAAAGCGTGTCTGTCCAGGCTTCAACAAAACCAGGAAGCTCGGGAGCAGGAGAGCCACAGACAGTGGGAACAGACTGAGGTGCGCTCACATTTTATTGTTTGCTAATTAAGTTTCTCCTGAACAGCCCCCAGACTCCACATAACATATTGGAACATTTCATTACATAAGAGCCATTAAAAGGTAATTACTGGACCACCAGCGGAGCAGACATGACTAAATAAAGTCCCGAGCATCAAGCTAGCTGAGAAGCCACAGCCAGGATGAATGGACACGCTGGTTAGAGAGATCTATCAAACGCAAGCAGACTTAGCAGCAAAGATCACACAGTAACCCCTGTACGTCAGGTGATTCACTACGTGACTAATGCAGGATGTGTCGGTGCAATTTACTGCAACACAGCAGTTACTCAGACATGGAAAAACACAGAACAAACTCTTCCACCGAACTGCAGTCAGAGTGAAAAAGAAAATCAAACCAAATCCTTATCTTGTTCGCAAATTGAGCCCTTATCAAACCGTGGCGAGTGCGTCTGCCGCCGCCTCGGATTTGCAGCGGCGCAAGCTCACGGTGCCTTTTCCCTCCTCCTACCCACGGCAACCTCATGGGGACGTGAAGAAAAGCCATTAAACGCAAAGCGAAACATTAACAGCTGCTCTGGCCGGAGACCTGTTTCGGTTTAAAACATGGGACACTTTAAAAAGAGCAAAGTCTGCTGTTACTCAGCAGCCATGAAGCAAGCAGTTAAAGGGGGGCAAACTTCCTTAAAGGGAGCAAAGGTGCAAAAGTCATTAGTTCATCAAGATTACAAGAAAAAAAAAGTCTGAGATAGAAATACACATACTGCAATGTTGGGGTGTAAATCACCAGCTTTATCACAATACAATATTATATCAATCTAACACTAATTATTGTGTTAGATGGACATATGATATAGATCCATAGTTATTCGAGTCTCGATTTTTAGTTTAGGATTATGATTCTTTCCTCTTTTTTGTAGCCATTTTATAACTATTTACATTTTTTTCTTTTAACATCAGCATTTTTGTCTTTGTATCTAACTGTAACTGTCTGTTGTTTTATAACTTCAAAATAACATCATCACAAACCTTTTTGTGACCACAACTTACAATTATACAATAATACAATGAGATTGATTCATTCATTTTATGTATTGATTCACAGTTTATGCAGTTGCAATCAATTATTAATAGACTCTTGATTAATTGTTACATCCCTAAATGATGAAAAAGATTGTTGTTTTTGTTTTGCCTTCATGTAATGGAATCATCAATCATTGAATCGGTATATCGATGTGGATCATTGTATTACTCCACCCCTATTAGAACGACATCGTATCAAAAACAACCCATACAGAAAGTTACAAATCTGATAAAACTCTGTTCTTCAGAAGAGACGCAGTCCGTTTTGTAAGGCTACATTTTAAAGGAGGCAAACAAAAACATACTCTGGCTATTAAATAAATAGATACTGGAAATAAAACGGTGAGGAAGACCTTCACCTGCATCTTAACCGTGTCAAACTTCAGAAAAATCTGAATCAAAGTGTGCAGCCTGTAAAACCATTCTGCCTTATTTCTGGTACATTACAGATGCTAAACGCCTAAATATGAAAACTAAGCCCTCACAGGTAAAGCCAACCAGGAAAAATCAAAACAAATCCCCTGTAATTCCAGAGTGGACCGCTTTGTTGTGTCAACACGTAACAGAAGGGAAGTGCAGTTTTACAAGTAGATAAGTTTTGAAAAGGAAAGTCAGATGGCTGGATTATAAACAGCCACGTCCCGAAACATTTCCAGACGTTTGGATCTCCACTCCTGATCCTGATCAACCAAGACCGATCATCCCTGACACAAAGAGGGACTCGTTCCCCATCAGCTTACAGAGACTTAACACATATGAAGCCAACCGTCTGCCCCTGTCAGCTCCCTCTTCTCCCCTCCCTCCTCTATGTATTTGTCTTTCCACACAGTGTGACCCATTTTAAAAACACTGCTGCCACAGCGTCGCACTGCAGCCGTTAAACTTGACTTGTTTTTTTTCCTGTTCTTTGTGTGCGTTTTACTTACAGGGCACCTCGCTCCAACGAACATGCTGCATCAAAGCTTGAAGCATCTCTCAGGCCATTTTGCCTGACACAAGCTCCGTTTCCCCCCTGCTTGCGTTATTTGATCTTTTCCCCTTCCCACAGCACTAAACTACCAGCTCTAGTGAAGCTAGCATTATTTCCTCCCTCCTCCACATGGTTAGAGGAGGGGAAAAAAAAGAAAAAAAGAATCCTCCTCCTTTGATTCTCAAATGTGGTGTGCCAAAATGAACCACAGCAGCCTTCAGCCTGGCTTCAATGTATTCTTCAGCAGCGATTCATCACCTGACTGTTTGGTGTGAGGCAGACAACGTCGAGTTAATCCAAGACCCTCCCCCTGGCAGGAAGGGCACACTTCCTCTCACACAGGCAGAAAAAAAAAAAGAAACACACAGCAGACAAGCAGTAAAAGCCACCCTGATTGGCTGAGGCAGCAGAGACAGATGTTTTGCTGTTAGAGCAAACCCATTCAGGATTGGGCATCTCTGGTCACATGATCCTACGAAAGCAGCTCATGTGAAGTGTGTGTGTGTGCACCAAGCAAGCAGACACACGTAGTACATGAAAGGTTTGCCACGAAGGGAGGGGGGAGCAAAAAAAAAAAAGGAAGGCAAAAGAGAGGGCAAATGACAAGGTTGATTATAGGGATGAAAACGAGCAGACAGAAAGGATCGTTTATACATGATGGAGGGAGAGATGACTCAGGAGGTGTGTTTTATGACAGACAAGCAGGGAGGAAGGTTAGGATGGAAAACAGGAGAAGAAAAAATAAAAAAGAGCACTGGATGAGGCAGGCTAAACACTTTCAGGAATCAGACACACTAGCAGAGTAAAAAAAAGCTGCCAGCAGGTCGATTACAAAACAAAATGTCCAATTATAAAGAAAAATACTTCAATATTTATCAGATTGTCATAATCTTAACCTTTATAATGATGCTAATGAACGTCACCTTTAACTAAAACCAGCTTATAATAACAGTGTACTGCTATGGCAAAACAATCATGTTGATGTGCTTTTAAAAACACCAACCACGTCTACAAATATACCTAAAGGCAACTTGATGACAAAACTTCACTTAACAAATTCAGCATATTTCCATGCCATGTTTGCACAAACCTTTAACACCCAATTGTACTCTACTAGTCTCTTTGATAACACTTATTTGTACAGGTTTCCAAACTCTGCTCTCATTCAGACATTTTTCTGCTTCTATTGGTAAGAAAAAGGAAACTGAACATGCAGTCTAAATGAGACGACTTTCAGTTACAAAGTAAACATGAGTGCCCTTTATAAGTTAGATTAGACATGCATGCCCATACACAGACAAACAATGAGGTCAGCAACATACCTGGAGTTGGAGGGTGTGACGGAGTATGGTTCCCTCTAAGGCCTGGATCCACTTTTCACGTTCATCTGCATCTCGAGCTGATGACAGAAACATACAAACGCACAATGAGACAGGTTTTCCCATCAGGGAAAAATTTAACAGGTTAACCTGGTTATACTACATACACTGTATATTACTGGGACAACACTGAGATGACATGAGTACAGGTGGCAAAGTGATGGAAACTGACAGAATTACTAAATATTTTTATTACTATTTTGCATTTTTCACAAAAACTAAAGTCACAAGTTATTGTGCATGAGTTCAAAAAAAGAAGAAAAAACAGATCAAAGTGTAAAAATGATCAAAACTACTGAAAGTTATCGTTTTCTCTGTGCTTTCAAATATTTTAGAAGAAAGTTTCCAAGCGAGAGACATTTTCCAGTGTTTACAGACATGCTAATCTCCATGTTTTGTGTTTCCCCATGGAGACGTTTTGCTCACTGTGACTGCACCCTTTGAGCAAAGAAACAGGCTGCCAGAAACACTGAGACACACACACATATATACTATGTCTCTTTATTCTTGTGGGGACTTTCCATTGACTTCCATTCATTTTTTGGAAATTTAATATCATAACCCTGACCATTTACCCTACGGCTAACCTCACAGGTCACCTGACCCTAAAACTATGAAACTAACCTAAACTCAATTCACACTTTGGTCATAAACCTAACCCCCCACCCAAAATCAGCCTACGAAGTCATGGGGTCTGGGCTTTGGTCCACACAAGGAGCATTCATTCCCCACGAGGCTGTATTTTCCTGAAAAAACTGTCCCCACCAAGTAGCAAAAAAAGGGCACGCTCGCGCACACGCACGCACGCACGCACGCACGCACGCACGCACGCACACACACACACACACACACACACACACACACACACACACACCGCCTCTCTCTACTCCTGTGGATTTTGCATTGACTTCGATTACAGCCCAACCCTAAACCCAAACCTAACCTTAAAAGTATGTCACTAACCCAAACTTAATTTATACCTTAGCCCTAAACCTAACTCCTGACCAACACGTTTCCCCCCCCATAGTGTGGACCAGGCAAATATCCACGTCAAAATAAGTCCACACAAACAATACAAAGACACAACACAAATGATTCTTACATGCTGTTTGGTGTCATGGCATAAAAAACATCCTTGAGAGGTTGGTAGCTGCATTACAGCGTCCCTACTAGAGCTGCATGATGTATCGTTTGAGCATCTTCATTGCAATGCATGTGTGCGCAATAGTCACATTGCAGGTCCAGCGATGTAGGAGGCAAAATAAATCCATGCGTTATCTAGGAACTAAACCACTAAACCATGTCACTGCACTAATTGTAGGGGCGGCTGTGGCGGAGTGGTTAGGGGAGTCGTCCTGGAACCAGAAGGTCACTGGTTCGATCCCCCGTCCAGCCGTCTCAGTCGTTGTGTCCTTGGGCAAGACACTTCACCCACCTTGCCTACTGATGGTGGTCAGAGGGTCCGGTGGCGCCGATGCATGGCAGCCCCACCTCTGTCAGTGTGCCCCAGGGCAGCTGTGGCTACAGTGTAGTTTGCCATCCTCAGTGTGCGAATGTGAGTGTGAATGGGTGAATGTCTGTTAGTGTAAAGCGCTTTGGGGGTCCGGAGGGACTTGAAAAGCGCTCTATAAGTTCAGTACCATTTACCATTTACCATTTATTAGGGCTTTTATTTTGATGGGTTGCTTCCACCGAAGGAAGAGTGTGGCTTCATGTCAAAACAACTAAAACTTTAAAATTTGCTGTGAAACTTCTGGGACAATAATGGCAATTTTTTTTGAGAAGTGTTGTTGATGAACTCTTGAGGAAGATGATGAGGATCTTGACGAAATTGAGGAAGTTGGGCCGGGTGATGTTGGCACAAAAATTTGTCATGATTAATTGGACGATCAATACTATGATAAATAATTAAATAATTGTAAATTAAATGTTAATTTCTAATACTTGGTTGAAAACTCTTTGTGGGTAATGACTGATGTCCATGAGTTCAAGACTTTAGGCAGACGCTGCGTTTCCTCCTTTTTAACGCTCTGCCAGTCCATTACTGCAGTGGTTTTCAGTTATTTGTTCGTGGGCCTTTCTATCTGCAGTTTAGTCTTTAACAAGTGAAATGCTCAATTGGGTTGAGATTAGGTGACTGACTTGGCCATTCAAGAATATTCCACTTCTTTGCTTTAATAAACTTCTGGGTTGTTTTGGCTTTATGTTTTTGATCATTACCCATTTGTATTATGAAATGCTGACCAATCAGTTTGGCTGCATTTGACACACAGTAGGTCTTTGAATACCCCAGAATTCATCTGGCTGCATTTGTCCTGTGTCACATCATCAATAAATACTAGTGACCCAGTGCCCCAAGAAGCCATGCATGCCCAAGACATCACATTGCCTCCATGGTCTTTACAGATGATGTGGTATACTTGGATCATGAGCTGTACCACGTCTTCACCATTCCGTTCCATCATTCTGGTAGAGGATGATCTTGGTTTTGTCTGTTGGTGTTTTTTTTAGCTAAGTCCAGTCTAGCCTTTTTATTCTTGATGCTTATGAGTGGCTTGCAGCATGCAGTGAACCCTCTGTATTTGCTTTCATGCAGTCTTCTCTTCATGGTAGATTTGGATATTGATACGTCTACCTCCTGGAGAGTGTTGTTCACTTGGTTGGCTGTTGTGAAGGAGTTTCTCTTCACCATGGAAATTATTCTGCCATCATCCACCACTGTTGTCTTCCGTGGGCGCCCAGGTCTTTTTGCATTGATGAGTTCATCAGTGTTTTCTTTCTTTCTCAGGGTGTACTAAACTGTAGATTTTGCCACACCTATTGCGGCAATTTCTTGGATGTATTATTTTCGTTTTTGCAGCTTAAAGATGGCTTGTTTCACCTGCATGGAGAACTCATTTGACTGCATAATTTCTTCACAGCAAAATTTTCCAAATGCAAGCACCACACCTCAAATCAACTTAAGGCATTTTATCTGCTTAATTGAAAATGACATAACGAATGAATTGCCCACACCGACCCATGAAATAGCCTTTGAGTGAATTGACCAATTACTTTCAGTCCCTTTAAAACCAGGATGGGCACATGTTAAAGAGCTCAACTCCGAAACCTTTCATCCAGTTTTAATACGGATAATCTGAAATGAAAGCTGAACATCTGGACTTTATGTTCATGTCCATTATAGAACTATAACTTAAATATGTTTCTGTGAACAGGAAAAAAAAAAAAAAAACAAACCTTTTCATTATTTAAATAGACATGGACCTAACAGTATATCACAGGGTTAAGGTTTTTCTCTATAATATCATGCAGCCCTAGTATAAATTTACAAACTTTCAGGCATCACAGTTTATTTTGTAGATGCACAAAAAGCAGTTTTTCTTCTGCTTTTCATGTATGGTCAACCTCAAATAATAAAACCTTGATTTCAAAAGCTGTGGGGAAAACTTGCATGCCCTTAAATTAGCTGCCAATCTGTGTTCTGTGTCACTTTTTTATTCAGCTGAAACCAAGACTTCAGCAGATGAATGACGGTGCAAGCACTGAGGCTGAGCCATGCTACAGCAAAAAAAAAAAAAAAAAGGTTTTAAAGACATTAAAAGGCAGCTGAGGCTGAGGCCAATCCACTCAGACAGAGACTCAGTGGCCTCTCACTTTCCCCTTCAACTGATTATGGCTGCTAACATTATTTAGCTGCTATTCATGGCAAAGATGAGCTAGTACTCCAACTGTTTAAAAATAAAGACTGGTGATGGAGTTTTTAGTTTTGTCCTAGTGTCTGGTTAACATTCAATCAATAATTTACTTTCACATGTGAGCATTTAGTTAATAATTTTAAGCAACTAAACCTGAGATGCTCTGCTGGGTTACACATTTAAACAAGTCTTATGCATTTATTATTCTAAAAACATTAAAAGAGAAAGAGGAAAAACCAAAGACTTGCAGCTACGGCTAAAACATCTACCTACATACTAAGAGTTAATGAAAGTTGCTGTATTTAAAAGACTGTTGGTCCTATAATCAGGTGGTACTGCATTTGATTTTTTTTCCAAAGACATGTTGTACAACACCCTTCATCAAACACTAAAAAAAT